AGAGCGAGAGAGAGAGAGAGAGAGGCATTCTGGCCATAATGGCAATGAACTGCAGTTGGCCAAATGCCGTCAAAGTCAATGTCTGGCACACAAAATATAACGCAAGCCTGGCGGCATAATATGAAGGCGCCTTTTTTCGGCACCTCCTCCATAGACACACACACACACCCATATATATATACATACTTGTATGTATGTATATGTGCCAAGAGCATTGAAAAATCAATACGTGCGGCAGACATCATCATCCTCGTTGGATAGCGCTGGCCTTGACGGGGGCGTCGTCCTTGTCCTTAGCGACGCAACCCAACCCAACGCGACGCGACGCGACGCTCCAATGTCTGGCCTACACAGTTCACACCAATGCCGGCTGTAGCAGGACTCGACTGCGGTTACGACTGGCGATGACCTTGGAATACAGATACACGACGACACACCTACCCAGCTACCCACCCAACAGCCCATCTACACGCACAGAAATTATGCAGCCCGTCGCCCATCGCCCATCAAAAGGTAGTATTGCAATCGTCTTTTTGAATCTCAGAACTTTCTGATCTTTCAGATTTCAAATAAGTGGCCCATAACCGGATTTTGGACTTATTTATTTATTATTAACATAGTGCGACAAGAAAAATTCTTAGTCACAAAACATTAAAAAAAATGATTTCATTAACTTAACCTATTTTATAAAATTTAGGATTTTTTTTAAACCGGTAAAAAAAACCCCAAAAGTCAATAACAGTTACCGATCACCACACGATATGTATCTCGTTAGAAAGCCTATGGAGAGGCTTTTTAAAGAGTATATCGTTTTTCTTTGTATTTTAAATATCTATAAATTATAGTTAAATGGAATATATCGATATTTCAATAAACTTTGTGTTATCGATAAATCAAAATGTTGGCCTTATGCATCTATTAAAAATTTGTGAAGTCTAGAAGATATCAGAAATCAAAAAGTTGTGGTAATATTGATCCCTTATTCTTATTACCTAAATATATATCTCGGTAGGAAGGTGTCTACACAGGCTTTTTAAAAAGTACATATATTGTTTTAAAAATGTTTATGACTTCCTTGTATTTAAAATTTCTATAATTTATAGTTCAATGGAATATAACGATATTTCAATAAACTCTTAAAAATTGTTAAAGTCTAGAAGAAATCGGGAATCAAAAGTTTTTGGTAATATTGATCCCTTACTCCTTAAATACCTAAACCAGAAAATGTAGTCCCTATTATTTAAGCTCTTCTACTTTATATTAAAGGGTACACTTTTAAAATTACTTAAATTATTGTTCTTCATTTAAAGCTACATACAATACTGTAAATTTTTTATTTTATTTAAAAAATTGTTATATTTTATTTTTTATTTGGGAGAGCTGAAGGCCATAGAAGCTATTCCTTCGTTTAATTTTAAGTTATTATCTCCAAAAATCCTCAACCGTGGCAAACTGTTTTATAAAGGGGGTTATTAAGTCGGTGCTAACATATCAGTACCATCCATATATCAAAGTTTAGATTTCACAAATTTTATGACATTATATTTGAATGTTTTATAAACAATTTATACAAATCCTAGGAGTGCAGTCGATTTTAATTCGGGATGTATACTTATTTGCGGCCAAACTTAAATAAAATAAATAAAAATATAAACTTTTTTAATTAGTACACATAGCTTTGAAAATATCAGGTTTTGATTCAAATTGACGAGCCGTGTGTTAGCCCTTAAATAGCAAAAATTATTTAATACAAGTATTAAAATATGCCTGAAATGTTTGGTCGTTTGTTCGCCTGTATGAACAGCGAGAACTCTTGAACTAAATAAGCTAGGAAAACCAAACTTCTCATGCACAGTTATCGTACTTACTTGCAGACCCTGTTTATCACAAACCACATATGACCTCATTATTTCGTATATACGCGTAGTATATCTGCCATAGAAACGATCGGGGCAAAAATCGCTTCCAGCACCAAAAACTTTATTCTCCATTACGATATCGTATCGAAAATAGGTATTTATGAGTTTTTTATAGGGCCTCATCATAAAATGAAATTTAATTAAAAATATGACACTATGTATATCATATAGCTGTAATTGGAACTATCGGTGAAAAAAAACACTCGATTGGGCATAACTTTTTCGTCTATCTTAATATATACAATTTATACGATTTGTATTCTGCCGCATAATTGTTTGAAGTCCCATCAATATCGGTGCACTATAGCGTATAGCTGTTGTCATAGGAACTATCAGGGAAAAAAATTAAACTTGGTACCAATAACTTTTTTGTCTGTATCTTTACATCTCAATTAAATCTGGAGATTTGTAAAAATCGGCTCGCTATATCAGCTTATTTTGGGGAGAGCTGGGGGGTTCAGGGCATTCAAGAGTCGAACTGGCACGACTCTTCCGTTCTTCCACTCGTTTTTGTCGAGTGTACGTAGGCGGTCGTAAGAACTCACCTTTTTTGTCGAGTGTACGTAGGCGGTCGTAGTGTGGCCATTGAACTAAATGTTGTTCAGATAGATGTGCGGCAGGGGCGGAGGCAGGGGCAGGCCACTTTAGTCGATGGTGTTACGTGTAGAGTCGAGTGTACGGGTTGTTGCAAGTTCGTTGTCATCGCTTGTTGCTGACCTTCCAACTCGACTGCAAACAAACCATGATTTGAGTTGGCTGAGGATTCGGTGGCACGACTCGTGTCACGCAATCAAAGCGTGGACAAGTTGTAAACAGCAACCTTTATTATAGTATGTATTATGTATATAGTATGTATGGCAGCGGCAGAGTAAACAAATGATAGATTAGAACCACGTCGTCGTACAATTTAAGATTAATCATTAACCGCATTTCCAGCATACAAGTAAGCATTCATCAATTAATCATTGGCAAAGGGAAAGCGGGCAGTGCGGAGGCACACACACACACACTCTCTCTCTCTCTCTCTCTCTCTCTCTCTCGCTCTTCCCATCTAAATATATTTTTAAGAATATACATTCATATATTTGTATTTATATTGTAATTATTGTAAATACAAATAATGATAATAACAATAACAAATGTTAATTATAATAGCCGCCTCTAATCGAAATTAAATTTTCGCTGCATTCCGATTTGAAAAGGGAAACCCTGACAAATCAGTCATGCTCCACAACCAGCCAGTGTTCCCGACGACATCAATGTTGTCAGTTTCTTATCAAAAAAAATTGTGAACTCGATTCGTCTGCCAGCGCCATGGCCAGCGCCATTTGTAGGTCAGCTTTTTGCAAAGAGTTCCAATTTAAGAAAAACAAATCTATATTCGTATTCAGAAACTGTTTTTCATCTACACTCAGAGAAAAACGGAATGCCTGTGATTGCACTCAAAAGGCAACTAGGCCCACTTTTGGGAAAGTTTCTCCAAATATATTCATTGGAAATAAGGAAATGATTTCTTCAAATAGCAACATACATGAATTTGTGAGTATTTTCCCCAATTCTTTCGCTCGTTCTTATGGCAGCTATGTGATAAAGCTAGCCGATTTTGTGTTGAAACTTTGGAATATTATTAGACACTATATGCAGGTCGTAAATACCAGATTGGCTTAAGATACTTAATAAACAAAAAAGTTGTGCAACTAAGAGTGACTTTTAGCTACTTATATATAAAATATTGATGTTATATATGGTTTGTAAAAAAAAAATTGTAACTTGTGCTGCAGAAGTTCTCGGTTATCATACAGTCGAACAGTTGAAGAGATAGACGGGCTTGTCTATAGCGATTCGTCTGGGAGGAAGAGAGGAATTTTTATAGGTTCTGCATTTTTCGAAATTTTGTTTCTAAATCGGACGGAAGATTTCGCCATAAAAGCTGGAAAAATCCATACGGTCGATAAATTGAATCCATTTGGTTTAATCAATATATTATATACTTGTATAATAAAATCAAGAAAGTGTATTTTGCTGAATCCTTTTTTTTTTCAAAAAGCGTATTGATCTGCCTCTTAGTTTTGGGTCGAAGAAAGAAACTGATTATCATGGTCATTGAAATTGAAGAAAAATATTACAAAGTTATAGAAAATTGGTTCTGTAAGCTTAAAAGTTCCTAACACTAGAAAATGTCAAATATATGTATAATAACACTAACGGACTTCAAATAAATGAAGAATAAATAGCATAACTCTCTCCTCAACGAAAATATTTCATTTCCAAAGTTAATTAACCTCCCCTCTTTGGGGGAGCGAGCCCACCCACTCTATATACTATATATATTGTTTTTGCTTGTCTTAGACCTATTTCTTTCACACAAAATTTGCGTAAAATTAGTGTTAATGTACCTAACACCATAAATATGATCCCAATGCCATATAACGGGATATTGTTGTGCGCAGTCAGTCTTTAAAATGAAATTTAAAAAAAAAATAAAATCCTAAACCGGATCTATTCTTATTTGCATGCCACCAAGACGTTACTAAAAGTAATAACACTAAGCAGCACGATTTTCGTTTGTTTTTGGTTTGGTTTTTGTTTTGTTGATAATAACTTGTTCTTAATTCTTAAAGGCGCAATTTTAAAATAAATTGAATGTAAAAATGAAAGCGTGGCAGAGTGCTCGATACAGCCATTCCCGTCTCTCTGTTCGACTGTATGACCCCAAAAAAAGTCGACAAGCACAAATTTGGTCTGTAAATTCTCCAAGATGGCAGAAATTTAAAGATGAGCTGAGTTCGTCCGCATGTCTTTCTGTTTGCCAGTATGAACTCAAAAGCTTAGCCTAGCTTTGATTAGTTTATGAGTGCGCGAGAGAGATTGACCGTCTGTTCGACTGTATGAACTCTAAAAACCCTGAAACTATAAGTGCTAGCAAATTTTTCTAAATTAAAGCATTAAGTGGTCTGGATTACTTTTCATTTAAGTTCGATTGAAATGCGTTTTTGTTGCAGAGTGTTTTAAAAAAATTATAATTGTTGGCTTAGACAGTACGCGCTTCAGACGTAGTTTAGCAATTTGTGTCTGTCAACAAAGCAATGCAGTCGCGTCGAGTGACGATTATATGGCTAGCATGCCTATGTGGTCTGATTGGGGCCCAGCCCGATAAAGCAGGAGTCCTTCCCAGCAAGAATGGGGAGTACAGCGTCAAGTAATTAAAAAAAATAATAATAATAATGTCGACTAAAAGGAAGGAGCAAAAGAATTTCTTCCGATCTAAGAAAGGGATGATCGGGAGGGACCTACTTTGACGATTTATCATTCGTATTGCAGCATTCGTTTGAAGGATAACAACAGGCGCGAGGAACGGGTGACCAGCTCCGCTGAGGGTGTGCCACATGTGAAGGGCATCTTGGAGCACGTCTATCCGGGGCAGAACACTGTGTATATAGTGGAGTATGAGGCAGGAGCTCGGGGCTATAAGGCTAGCTATCGCTACAGCGACTACGAGTCCACTACTACCCCAAGGACACGGCTGAGCAATGGAGCGCTGAAGGCGGCAACTGGTTGAACAAAAAGTGCAAAGGTTTTTAAGTGTTTTTTTTTTTAATTTTTTGGTTTTTTTTTTTGGTTTTTTTATTCATTATAATCATAAATGCTTTGACTTGATTTGTGAATTCTGCGGCGGCATTTGTGAGCCTCGGATTTAAATAATCTAATATATAATGTCGTCTATTTGTCTAATAAATAAGTGTCGGGGCATCTGTGGCGAAGTTGGCTAAGTTGCTTAAGAATTTCATACACTGTTTTAGAATTTGATGGGGGCAGAAAGTGAGATTTTGGGGGAAATGGAGACACAATTGGGCGGCGTTCGGGGGCTATTACTGGGTACTACTACACAAATTTTCAACGGCTGTCTCCTTTAAAGTATTGACCGTTTGCCGTAGCGCGGCTGATTGCCCTCAAGGAAGACCTCCAGAGTCATGTGCTTGAACATATAATTGGCCACATATTCGGCCGGATTATCGAACTCGTCCAGATCGCTATCGTGATCGTCGTCTTCACTGCTGTTCTTCCTCATGTTGTTATTGTTGTCGTTGTTGTCCTTTTTGTTTTTTCTGCCAGACTCAATGGCCCCATCGATGATCGCCGGAGCAGCGGCATCAACTTTGCGATCCTCGATGCGCTTCTTCTTCTTCTCGAACGCCTCCAACGCCAGCCATAATATGGGCTGAGTCACGTGCTCATCGATGCCGCGAGGCGGCAGAGTGTGGCACGATCGCCGCTTGGGGCACTCTTCCAGTGGATCGCCTTCTTCTTCTTCTTCTTCTTCTTCTTCTTCGTCCGATTCACTTGGAGCGTCGACATCATGTGGTTCTTGTTGCTGCTGTTGTTGTTGTGCGTGTGCCACTGCGGCAAGGCGAACTTGTGGCACAACAGCCTGATCTAGTGGGTGCACGCGAAGGCGTGGCACGGCTGGCAACTGAGGCATTAACGGAATCGCTGGTATCGGCGGAAGCATCTCCAGACGTGCCAAATTGTCGGCCATGGCTGAAAAATTTGTTTACAACCATCATATTAGTAGAAATTGTGGCGAACTAGTTCAACTGAGCCATTCATTGCAGCTTCAATTGAGCATTCTTTGTTTACACTTTGCAAAGTAAGCGAAATGTTAGTTGGTTTCCCATGGAACGAGGTTTCTAAATTACTAGTTCCTTCGGAACCAATCCGAACTGGTTCCGAAACATGAACTAAATTGCACGGCTGCAATATTTGTTGGGTGAAAACTCTTTAATCTATCACATTTGTAAAAGTTGTGGCGAACTAGTTCCCCTGAACAATCCATTAAGCTTCATTACTAGAAGTTCTGGCAAACTGGTTCAATTGAACTTCATTCATTTCTTAATTCCTAAATAGTTCCATCTGAATCGAAGCAAAGCTTGCAGCTTCGAACTGTATGCGAACTAGTTCAAATTTATATTACCTTCGCTAAGTAGTTGAATTACTCCCGATATTTTGTGAATTATAAATTTGAATTAAACATTTTGGCTTCAGCCTTAACACATAATTTCCAAGCTGCTAGTTCCATCGGAATTGAACCAAACTGGTTCAAATGAGTTAAGCTGCACAACTCTAATATTTGTTTTCATTCGAAAACACTTCACTTACCCGCTTGGCGACCCTCTTCCAGATCAACAATAATAAAGCGCTGGTGCGCTCCTAGTAGACGCCCCAAGCCCTCATCAATGCGGTGGTGCGGCATCATCTGCATTTGTGCCGGTGGCTGGCGGTTGTTGCTGGGAACGGGACGAGCCGGGCGCAACTCACCGATAATATTGAGCACACCACCAATATCGGGACGAAGCAGACCGGGCTGCAACGGCTGTTGTTGCTGCTGTTGCTGCTGTTGTTGTTGTGGCTGCTGCTGTGGCTGCTGCTGTGGTTGCTGCTGTGGTTGCTGCTGTGGTTGCTGCTGTGGTTGCTGTTGTTGCTGGTGGCGACGCTGCGTTCCGTTAACACCACCAGGATTTAGCATATACCACAAATTGCGCAACATTTCCGTGACTTTATGTGTGTATTTTTTCAACTGGATGGATGTCTTTGATTACTTGAATTTAAAACCAAGGGACAGAAAGGAAAGATTATGACCTGACCACAACAAATTTATGACTGTGTGTGTGTGTGTGTGCCTACGAATAAAACTAAATATAATGAACCCGAACTATGCTGCGAAACTGAAATGATGATTGCCAACAAACTAACTGCCTACTATGATTTCGAAAACTTGCAACGCTTTTAGTATTTTCAAAATTCAATTACAAGAAGGGGTGCCCCCTAGCGGTGCAAATAGGTACTAAACAAGCTACGGCGCTGACAAATGCTCGCTGCGCTGAAACTCAACCACCCACAACGTTTTACCGCACTATACGTGGCGGGGCGGTCAGCTGTTGTCGGCGATTAAAGAAACAAACATTTTGCCACAACATGTGTTTTGTCTTAAAAGCTGCAGTTCGAATAGAGCGGTTTCTTTTTAACGCATAACTTTTTATTTAAATACATTCAATAATCGAGTTTACTTACAAATCCACTCACCAATCGAAGCCTATGTAGCGTAACTGCAGCAACCTTCCCATCTCTGTGCCGGCAAAAGCATGTGAGTGTCAAATCGCACATTGTTGTTGTTTGTTTTTGTTAACTCTATTATTATTAAAAAGCTCCACAAACACATGCCGAAATATACACAATATATATAATATACATACATATACATACCTTGTGTGACTGCATATATAATTTATGTATATATATGTATATATAATTTAAACAAAAATTAATTTACAGTTTAAATAGGCTTTACTGAACAAAATCCATTCAACTTAAGATAACCCCCGACCTTAGAAAATAAACAAAACGGGTAGAACCTTTAATCCAATCGTTACCAATCCTTCCCATGGCAGCTTTATTATATGAGTCGGTGCACTGACTTTGAGATTTTTCACAAAAAAAAAATTGCTGAAACTTAGGAGCTTTTCTAGTAAAAGTACCTTTTGGACCAGTTCTTATGACAGATACTATATATGATATAGTTCATCGACTGTGTCATTTTATAATATGCACAAGTCTCTAAATACAACATTTAGTTAAGATAGGATATACATATGTGATTTGTTATATACTTGTCCTGTATTTCGATAAGATAACTCCATAAATCAATTTTTGTGTGCCTAGCTTCTTTGATTCAAAAGTTCTTAAGGTTCATACAATCGAACAGAAAGGAAACAGGTATGAGGTAGAATTCGTAAAAATTTAAATATAAAATATGTTTCTACACAATTTTATCAATTTTACTGAATCCAACTTATTTGCAGTATTATTGTTTTATTCAGTAAAATTCTACCAATCGGTGTGCAAATTATTTGTCTGTCTACCCAATCAATGAAATAATAGCCGACCAACTTTGTATTCTTAGCAAATATTTGTGGGCACTTTTTGCTGCAAAGATAATGTAAATGCCACTTTGAAAATAAATAATATTATCTCCCAATATTTGCTTTAATTATACTGCAAAAACACAAAAAATAAGCAATAAATGAGTATATTCGGTGAAAAATTAAAATTGAAATGTAAAATCTGTATTGTAGGTAATTCTTATTATTTTTTGGATAATAATTCCTTTTCAATATTAAGAACCTTAATAACATAAACATTTAAAATTATAGTAGAAGTAGCAGGTAACTGCAAGCCATGGTCACTTGTTTGTTTGAATTTGACAAATTTGTACCTAGCTTAGTTATCTATAATTATCTTAGTATCCGATCCGCATGAGCCGCACTATCAGCGACGTGCATACCGACTATATAGTCTCGTTAACTATGGGTTGGGCTTTCACCTTTCAGGCGGCATTACTACCTGATGTATGTACATTAAAAATACTTTTTTTGAAAAAGCAAAATGACTGATATTTCCTCTATGGGCTTCCCATATTTGTGGTCTTTACATTTTTGATAGATTTTCAAATGGTTTTGTTTTTCCTGAAAGTGAATAAATCATGACTTTGGAAAGGTCGGAAAATTCATAGAAAAATTAAGAATACATACTTCTGATCACGGTTAATATTTTTTATTCAAAATGGCGAGGAAATGTTCATATTTCTAACAAACTTACCAATTAGCTGACGATAAAACCTATTCAGTTTTCCACTTGTAGCTGAAATGTGATCCTTGGTGATGGGAGTATGGAAAATTCGACGCACAAGTGGGGGAATGTTTAAATAAACTGCCAAGTCTTTTCTTCGATAATTTCTAAAAGTGGGAGCCCCAGTGTTGCAAATTTAAGCTGATTAGGGGGCGTTAATATACAGGTTGAATAGAAATATATGAATTGTTAACAATATAACTAATTACTGCCGCGATGATTTTAAAATCTATCTAAACTATTGGTAAAGCTACCACCTATTTATGTAAGGCACATAGGTCAATAAAGTCTTCTGAAAATGTTTCAAATTAGTAGAAAAAACTTTCAGATACTACCCAGTGTAGCCCCACAGAATACCGCTGTGTCGCGGACTGAATTATAAACTGTAAAACGTCGTAGTCATACTGTTGTGGACTGGGTTTTTTTTTCATGTTTATTGATGTGTCATAATTAAGGCATATTAGTTGTCTCAGTCCCTGATAATTCCCAACTTTTGCTGGGAACCTAACCGTTTTTAGTGTTGCTTTCTGTTTTAACCGACTGAGTGATGTCTGATAGTGCTTTTTTTCTTATCGCCACGAATATAAAGACAGGCAATAAACGCACGTATGTACATACTTCTTATTTCGTAATCAGGTTAAAATTATTCCAATAGACTTACATATGTACGCTAACATTCTAAATAATACTAAATACTGGATCAGCAGGTACGAATCAAAAGCCATAGAGCCCGCGAAACACTTGGAGAGTCAGTGCAGGGCCTTGGGAATAGTTTCTTCGAACGACCCGACAAACGCAAATGTTAGCTGTCAAGTGTGTTACCATTATTGTTAACACTATTATTATAGTTGTTGTTATTATTACTGGCTAATACTATGCTTGTTGGCCATTCACCAGTCTTTGTCTATAAACCGGTACGTGGTCGGTTGGCATAGAAATTTGTTGCAACACCGGCGGTACATACGTATATAATGTACCTACAGTTACGAGTATAGTCGGCAAGGTCGTGCCGATTCGTTAGTCAAACGAATATGATGAAAAAGTGACTACCATGGGATGGATGGCCGAACTTTCCACTACAACTGAAATCGGAAGTAAACGCCCATTTCTTAAAGTAGATAATTTAATATAAAAAAAAAGCACGGGAACACATACTCGTATGTCCAAACTATAAACTATTTTTACAATATCAAGACATAACTTTTTAGCGACTGGGCTGACTTTAATCTTTAGATTGTAGATTTAAGGATGCTTTTCATTAAAATTTTAGTATAGTTCCGCTATTTTAAATCAGAAAATAAATTCTGAGGGCTTGTTTTATCGAAGTATCAGCCAGTTCTAATCAACTTAACTTAGTTTTGGAAATACTTATAAACCATTTCCATTATTTTTCGGGATAAGGTACGCGAAGTAGCTTATTTTGCTTGTCATTAGGGCAGAAGCAGGTACTGTTCCTGCCCTAGCTATTTCTCAGTTGTATTTTACTTTTCATTTCTTTATATATGGTATTTATTTTCCTGTTTCGTCATGTTTGTTATGTACCAGTAATAGGATTTCCTTAAAATAATGTACAATAATGTAGTATGGGTGTTAGGGGTGTGTAAGATCAAGAACCCCCTCTAACAGGCTGATTTGAATGTTCTGAACATTTCGTATACTAGCAGGAATTTATGGCCTATAGTGCGCCCACAGTCTATAGATTTATAGAAATATATTCGGATTGGACAGTCTATATCATAAGTAAGTTCATACTCGTATATATAGTCTGTGTAGCGGGTGATTCGACAGGGACATATATTTATATTTTGAAGTTCGCAACACTGTCACGAAATATATTTTGATTAATAAATAGGGATTTTTAGACATAATAAATATATAGTGCGAGTCATATTTGCGCACAGTAGTACATACTTTTCCGTTTTTTGGGTGAACATATTTGCCATCGATTCCACAGTACAAGGGGAAGCCTATTTGGCTCCATGTATGTACATATGTACATATATGTGTAAATGTGTATGTCTGAGCATATATGTGAATATATTGTGTTTACACGTGCCCATGCATGCACATGTGTGCGATTGTGGGTCTGCGAGTGTGTGTGTGTGTGCTCTTGCTATAGAACTGGCTCTGGCCAAGTTTATTATCGAAGTTTTGTGGCAACGTCAGGCAGTGGCAGTGCGTCAGACTCCAAGCAACGCGCCGCATATACAATTCAGAGTTCCCGGTCGACGGACGTGTTTTTTCTCTCTCCCGATTCTCCGTGGCAGTCGCTGCAACAACAACCCACAAGGCACACGCCTTGTGCCGCCGCGTCCACGTTTGTTCTCTCGCCGAGCACCGCATCGCATCTCGTCTCGTCGGCATCTCGTTGTTTCGCGGTCGTTGAGTTGTTTTTGTTATTAAACCTGTTGCATGCTGTGCCGGTTTGTTTTTGCCTTATTCTGTTCTTCTTCTTTTTTTTGGCATCAATGTGTGTGTGTGTGTGAGTGTGTGTGCAAAGAACAGTACAACAGCGTGTGCTTCCAGCATAGAGAGGGAGTGAGAGAGCGTGTTTGTGCGAAGGCATAAACAAAAAACGCGAATTTTGTGCTCATAAAAAAGCGCAATAAATGGCAATGTCGTCGGTTATGAATGCATATTTGGAATATTTCTACCTCTCCCTCCCTCTTACTCAGCCAACATTAAATGCCGAATGACTCAGCACTTTAAATACAAATCTAATCAAGATTAAAGAGTTGGTAGTGCCCTTGAAAACATTTGAAAGTGCCAAAAAAAGAGACAAGAGAATACAAATGTTTATTAATTGTAAATTGTGGTAACAATTTCTCTCTCTCTCTCTCTCTCTCCTGCATGCCCTTTTCAGGTTTCAACCCAACTACTGTCGGCTGCTGTTTAAAAACCAATTATTTAAACAAATTCACACAAAAGTTGGCCCCCACGTAAGGTAATTACGAAATACGAGCGTGTGTATTTGCAGTAAATTGGATAGCTGATCATTTTTATGGTACAGGGCACAGACACACTACAATACAGCCGCGTTCGGGAACAGCCATTGGTCCAAGCCTGATCTCAGAAATTTTAACACCAACTTTACACACAGTCGACAGATTCACATCATGGGCTCCATTAATTGCAAAGAGTACAAAACAACCGGCAATGCAACGCCCAAAACAACGGAATCAGCAGGTAAGCCCGAAGAGAGCGAGGGAAAAGCTTTCAGAGACAGAATTTATGAATGTGGTAAAAACTAGATGCCTAGATACATATTTATATGTAGGTGTTTTGGAGACCTCATTTCTTCCCTAAAAGTGTGCGAAAATTTATGTAGATCCTGAAATTAAACCACTTTGAAAAACCATTAGTAAACCCCCTAACAGAATGAAAGTGGGATTATCGGCATTGGATTCCAAGAGAAACACAGAGAAAGAGACAAAGTCGAGCAAATAATAAAAAAATATTTTACTTAATTAAATTTATTTATTTAGTTAATCTTTAATCAGTTTTCTTTTTAATTGTTTCTTTTTTGTGGGTACTCTAGTATTTCTTTAAAGTATTTATTTATAATAATCCCCAAAATCATCAAAAGTTGGATAATAGTCCTCTATTTTTTTGATTCAATTTTCTTCTGAGTTGATCGATTAGGTTTGATGTCCTAACAGCTTGAATACCCAAGTCTATTACAGTCTATCACTTTTGCCCTTAAAGAGGACAGTTGTTTTCTCAAAACTCTAGTGTCTGATAGAAATCTGTCTTAAGAGCAAACAAGTTATCAGGTCATCTACCTCAATAAAAAAAGGACCATAGCATATCGCAATTGTTTACCAATTAGATCATCGTTAGATGTTACAAGTTAACAGTTTTAGTCCCGAAATATGATCGTAGCTATTTAGGAATTGTTAATACGTAAATTGAAAAAGTTGTTATTTCCCCTCTTCCGCGTTTCTTATAAAAAGAACTTAACCGAAACCACTCCAATTTCCTTCCATTTCTGTGTAAAGCAATCCTTTATTCTTGCTAGTGCATCGCAATTCAGGGATAAATTAAATTTGTTCTTAAAAAATAAATAACCAACAATATGAAATGTCCGTAGTAATAAATAATACATTAAATAATCCCTAAATTTTCTAAAATAGGTTAAGTAGGTTAATCAAATCTTCGTAAATGTTTTTCTATGGAAATTGTTTGTTTTTGTGACTAGAGCAGTAATTTATAAGAATTTTTCTGGTCGCACTAGGAAATAATAAATGAATAGGTGAAGAAAATTCGTACTCCAAAAAGGGGAAAAGGGGCTCTACACGATGGCTTACAAAACAAACTATATTCAGGAATAGCTTAAGATATTTCTTGATTTATAGTCACAATAGGAAAGTAATTTGTTTCGTTACATGTTTAATTGATTTTTTGTTAAATTTTAAGTGAAATAATTTACATACGAGTACATACATATATATGTGTATGTAAATAGGTGGTGCGACGGCTTGTAGAAAGGTTAGCGATTGGTTTTGTGTGTGGCGCTTTTTTTTTTGTAATACTTTTAATAGCAAAAAGCTGTTGTGCTGCCAAGCCGCTCACTTCGCACGCACAGTGCGCCTGTGCCACACATATGCACCCCTTCCCCTCCCCCAGTACGCCCCAAGCCATTTAACAACGTCACACGCAAACATTCGAAAGTGGCCCCAAAGGCGCTCCATTTGTCGGACATGCAATCGGTCCGGTGTGGTTCGGTGCGCTCCGTCTTTCAATTTATTTTGCGGAGCAATCAAACGAGTTGTAAATCCACAACCATTATAAGTCAATTATAATGTAGATATTTTGACATGACATTGTGACTTGTGGGGCTTAATTTAGGGCAGGGCGTCTATTGGCCACTCACTTGCTCCATACTTAAGGCTTTCCGCATGGACACTTGTCCGTAATTGTTTTTTTTCTCTCATTTACTTGGCCGTTACAGCCGAAGGGGTTGCCGGCAACAACGTAAAAGGAGAGCAGATATGGCACTAAGGACTGCACTTTTGTACTCTCACTGCGCAGGTACGTCACAAGCGGAGGCCACTGTGGCTGGCATTTGATTTTTGTGCTCTCTTGGTATTAATGCAACTGATTTCTGAGGTCTATCTATACCGAGTTAGCTGCTCTTGCTGATCATTCATTCAGATGAGCTTCTCAGTTTGTTCCTGGTTTCGTAGAAACTCCCCTGGCACCTACGATTATCCGTTTCAAATTGTAATCAAGAGACTTGATTTTAAAACAGCTGAAGTAATTTCGATAATGGAATCAAACTAATTAGGTGGTCAGTTTATTTTCCAAAAAGAGGGAACAGACATATACTTACATTTATAATAAAATGTATGCCAGCGTTCAGGTTAATCTCTTCATTATAATTAGTGTGAAGCAATTTTTCTTTAGACTAATAAATTTCTAACATGGCAGATAAGTGCAATGGATGAGGGCTTTTTCTAGTAGAAGTATTTTATTTTCAATACGAAAATAAATGTCTACATCAACTAATCAACGCCTTCAAGTTAGTTCTTCTGTTTCAGTAGAGCAATGAATTGTCTTTTTTGTGTCGAATTGTATTTCATAATCATGTGTAATGTTATTTTTCGATGTTTATAAACTACATATATAGTATGTACTATATGTTCGACAAAATCAATGTCTAAAGAAATTTGTATTTTAAAAATGTTTTTACTTTTTTTTGCTTCTTGTTATTTAGTTTTTTATGTTTCTCAACAGACTCCGAAGCCGATCAACTGATTTTGATCAAATCTTGTGGTAATATTCAAAATAGTCCGGTGGATGCTTCTGTGAAGTTTCGTGGTGATTGGTTAAACAGAATTTTTCAATTTTTCCAAGAATTTGGCTTTCCTTGTAAATTACTCCATTAATGGATTTTTTAGATTTTTTTTTTCCAATATGAAAATAATGAATTCAGCTTCAAGCGGACAAACAGACCAGTAAGACTATCTATTGGGGCATAAAATCCATCGAGTATATATAAAATACAATTATGCATGCAGAACCGATAAATCCAAGTTGTGTTGAGAACGAAAGGCGTCCAACGAAAGTCGAGTACGCTAGTAGGTGTATATTTAAAATCAATTATTTGATATTTGTTATTATTTAATTTTTTGTTATTTGAATTTCTTCTTCTTCGACGCAAAGCCGGCGTATCGGATTTGCTTTGAGATATTATTGCAGTTTCATCGCCTTACTTTTTTTTTTTTTTAAATAGTTTTGTTTAATTACTTTTGTTACAATGAGAGCTCTGTTTGTTGATAAATAAATAAAAACAATGATGACAATGCAAGCAGTGTGTTTTAATGACATCACACGAAGAGCAAAACTTATCTGCTCTTAACTGCTTTGCACGATGAGGTCAGTTGCCGGCAACTACTGCTTCTACTTGTATTTATTCGCGTGTCAACATTTTCTCGCTCAGTAGTCAGTCGGCTGGCACATTTCAAAGTGCCAAGAACGAGTGGAGCGTAGAGCAAGTTCTTCTTCTTCTTCTTCTGAATCCTTCGTCAACTTCACGTGAGAACTTACGGTAAAAAGAAAAAGCAACTGGCATTCAAAAAACAATTGTTTCAAAATATTCAAGCTCTGTGTGTGTAAGAGTGTGACAATGGCAACCGGTTCGAGTGTGTAGTTGTGTTTGTGCTATTAAAGAAGGAGAGAGCGAGAGAAAAATAACAAATAACATAAAGCTGACAAAAACAGGCAAACCCACTCAGACAAAGTCGTTCAACTAATTAGACACAGATCTGGAATATTTTGCGCTTACAAACATGATTCAAAACAAGCGCCATATAAACGTACATACACATGTATAGTGCATTATATCCAGCTGTTATATGTGGTATAAAAAAATTTGCGTCAAGTGCTAATTTAGAATTTGCGTGCCAGCTGGGAATTCTACTTTTGACCATTCCTTAGCGTGCTTCCTTAATATACAAGTATATAGATATTGCCAAAAAGCAGTCAATAGGCAGGACTTATTACTTCACTATATAGATAGTGCAGGAGCACTCGAAGTGTAAAAGGGTACACTGTAAAGTCTAACAAACAAATGCTGGGTAGAAACATCAAGTATGTACGTAGATATATGATGAGCAGGCAACACGAATCGATACGGATATATGCGTTTGTCCATCTGTTCGACTGTATGAACACCGACAACTTTTGAATCACTAAAGCTAGAGACATCAAATGTTTTAAGTATGCAGACTTGCCTTGTCTATACAAACCCTATTTAGTTTTATCCATTTCTCTATCTATTCGATTGTCTTATTCTCTTGTATAATGCCGCACTCCAATCTGACATTTTTGGAAATAGGTTCACTACTATCATATACATATATGTATAGCTGTCTTAGGAATGATTGGTTTTAGGATCAAACTTGAAGCTAACATAACTCCACATTAGTTGCCTTTATCAGTTCTTGTCTGAAAAAAATCACAAATATGAAGAATATTTCTGTTTCTATAACAAATACTTATGAAACTTTTAAGAATTTTAAGAAATAAAGTAAGCATTTCTTGCTAATTGGAGATCCTTTAGATTCTATTGCAGGTGATTAAAATTCAATTAGATTGGTGATAGTCTTGAGAAATCGTCAATGAATATATGTATCTCTACACTCATACAAGATACGAACTATATACTCGTACATGCTGATTTACGAACGGTAGACTGTAAGTCATTTATAAACTTGCTTCTAAAAAACACGCCTAGCTTTTAGACGTGTGTGTTTGGTAAAGAGATGACGCAGAAACTTGTTTGTTTTGGGGTTTTCTAGCTGATGATGAATCCATCCATTAGCATATCATTTAAACGGTTTATGAATTTGAATACCTAGGGCATGTACAACATGGAGGTTAGTTCATTAATATTGTATACATAGTATATTTGGTGGATATTTAATGCCAACTTCGATGGGGTTGTAATTTGTGACAATTGTGTTATGAGAAATGAACTGAAGATTCCCTGTTGGCTGGGTAACCAAAGCAGAACCGATTTCTTGGCTATGGATTTCCATAATTAAGTTTAGATTTCTTAATGCAGAAATCCTAGACGAGTTAGGAAACAAACAAACTTTCTCCAGGTTTTTAAGATGGCGGTGAAGTTGAAGTAGCATGTAGTAGCATTAATGTTAAAGCCAAGATATTTAAAAAAGGGACTTACTGGCAAGACCTTAGCTATCTTTTATAAAACAACGGTCAAAATGTCGAAGATGATGGGGAACTGATTTAGAAAGAAGGCGACGAAGGCCGATTTTACGAAACTTTAGCGCAAAATCGAAAACTTTCCAATATATTGTTTGAAATATATTCTTGATGAAACTTGCATTAGAATTGTACGTAGTTTCCGTAGTTTTCTGCATTTCAACAAGGACGTTAGTTGATATTGATGATGAATCAACAACGAAGAAGCAATATCATCAAAGTGAAGAGCAAAACTTATTATATAGTAGTTGAAGTATACGTTCAGTTTCTAGAGGTACTTTTGTAGAGAACAGTATGCTTGGAAGGAACTTATTAAATCGTTTTATACGGAAATCTTTTTCAGCGGACTACTTTATAACTTCTATTTGGATAGTTTAAGCTTTAAATAATATAGCTTTATATGATTTGCCAGAAATTGATCGAATTTAGCAAACTCTCGAAAAAGAACTCCTTTTAAGAGCCGCTGCTGGTTTTCCCAATTATCCAATTGAAGCATATCGTAAACATATCGGTTCTAAATTTATTGATGAACTTTTCATTAGAATCGCACGTAATTTCTATAGTTATTCCTTCCTTAATCCTTGGCATGTCTGGTCGAGCTGAGGAGCTCCAAACGTTTGATAGCTTCGTTGATATAGTGGCGTTGAAGTTGCAAATGGGGGAGCAGTTCGTTGGCGCTCAGTACGCGATCTGCTTGGGGATTGCTTTGAACCGCCGCCGGCGAGGATGTCCAATGTCCGCGCAGATTTGTGGCGGAGCTTGGTCGCAGAATCGCCAGCAGACGTTTGATGAGCGAGGGACTCTCCTCTGCACCGCCGCTGCTGCCGGGCTGAGCAGCAACGCTGGCCGGCAGGAATTCGGGCATGGAGAGCAGCGGAGTCCAAAGAAAGCTCGTTGGTAGAGCGGGTTGCGCTGCATGTTCCTGTTTGACCAACTGGCCAGCGGAGCCTTTGTCCTCCGGATGCGTCGTCGAAGTCAATCGCATGTCCATTGCTTCCACCTGGGACTTCAGGTCGTCCAGCTTGTGCTGCAGTCTCTCAAAGTCGGCTGTCAGGTTGACGCTCAGTTGCTCTGACTTACCCAATTCTGTGCTCTTTATATGTTGGACTGGGGGACCCTGCATTGTCTCCAATCTGTCGATTTTCATTTGTATGTCACGTTGGCGCTGCTGCAGCTCCTCCAGCAGCATTGGCGACTCGAGACTGGCCGGTTCCATCAGCAGACGCGCCAGCTCGTCCTGCAGCAATTGCTTGTGACTGCGCAGAGCGCTGAGCTCCAAAGCACGAAGACCGCTGGCGGTTAAATGGCCATGACCGCTGCCCGTCGTCTGCGTGGCCACAAACAGACCTGAGAATGTGAATATGATAGCGACTAGGTTCGAACGACTCCACGACATTTTTCAAACTGTCGAACAGTTCGAGAAACGCCTCAAATTTTATCTCTTCGGCCAACCCATGGGTTGTGTGCGTTAGGGCGCCCGAAACAGTGCTGCCATAGATTGGCCATCAAAAGCGGTTAGAACTAGCCGGAGAATAATTCTAATAGCTTGAACTTTAACTCTCGAATTAGCGTAAATAAAAATCCGGAATAGCTGATCCAACATAGGGTTCGTACCGATTTAGCTAATTCAGCTATATGCCGAACGAATACGTAGTAAATAGTCGACACGGGTTATTCCAGCAATTGTTAAAGAGGTAATCCAGCTTGGAAGGAACCCAAATAGCTTAAATTTGAACTCTAGAAACTCTATCTATCCAACAGTTTGCTGATCCCAGCACATAATTACTAAAACAATCTATTTAGAAATATACCTTTTAGCTATAAATCGCAAATCGTTATTAGAAACTGAAGTATATGTTGTATAACTGAAAGATTTCAAAACGAATATTGAGAAGAAGAAGCTAAATTATATCCTGTATCCTCGTTTTTGAAATTTGTTATTGAGAGAATCGGCATGATACTGATAATGTAACGTTCTAAGTATTTTATAGATTTCCTAAAAATAACATCAAATAAGAATTAAATATGGTATGCTAGAAATATTTAGATAAGGCAGATTCGTACATGTACGCGAGTCTATTACAGATCCATTTAAGCGGATTTTTCCCCAAAACAAAACAAATAACTAAGATCTCGAAAGAAATTTAAACATTCGGGAGCTAATATAGAGCTAAGCTTTGTTCTTGAGGAACTGCAGAAATGATTTCGCTACGTGGAGGGAATCGTTGTTTCTAACAAATAACTTATGGAGAGAAAAAGGACACTCGAGAAAAAAGAAAAGAAAGAAAGCTATGTTTATATAGAATCTTATAGCTATAGCTTGATGAGACCAAGAATACATAAGAAAAGTAAAAAAAATTTTTTTTTTATATTAGGGATGCCAGTCAATATAATTATATCCCCAAACAAATGTTAAATAAATCTCATTGGTATATGATTGAAGATGAGATATAATGGTTTTAAGTCCTAGAAAGCGCAACTATGCTTGTCCCGATTTATTGTTATCCCCAATTGAAACTTAACTATATCCTAAACGCTGATTTGGACTATCCCAGAGAGAGATAGTTGAAATTGACTTCGAATTAGCTTGGTTTTGGAATACAATCAGATATGGTTTTCTTTTAAGTCGCAGCCATTTTTTTGTGGATAGGCAAAACCGCTAACCCTAGCGGGAAATTCGCTGCTCAGACAGCACTGATTGCTGACCGCTTTCTACCTGCTCAATCGGCATAGCAAGCCATTGGGATGACTTTCCCTGCTCTTGACAGATTCGATGGGCGATAAAAACGAAAGAAAAGCAAGCCATAACAGCTCGAGCATTTCGTATTTTATATTTGAGTAAAGAAATCAGTCCAGTCGTTCGTTAATCGATTTATATTTTAACCCCCACCGATTCTTTAGGAGGTACTGTTGGCTCGTATCAGTCGTGCAGTTCGCCAAAGAGGAACAAGGAAACGATGGCTAGCCAGGCGATGGGAGCAGCACCTGTCTTCGATCCAAAGGAATACACGGATCCGGTGTCCGTTTGCCAAGCAACAGACATCCAGGAGAATGAAATGAAGCAGTTGGACTTCGATGAGGACACTCGCATTCTGCTGATCAAGCAGAATGGTCGCTTGCAAGCGGTGGGTGCCAAGTGCACGCATTATGGGGCTCCCCTGCACACCGGGGTCTTGGGCCAGGGACGGGTGCGTTGTCCCTGGCATGGTGCCTGCTTCAATCTGGAGACGGGCGATATCGAGGACTTCCCGGGCCTCGACTCCTTACCCTGCTACAATGTGGAGGTCAACGACGAGGGTCAGGTGCTGGTGCGTGCCAAACGCAAGGATCTGGAGCAGAGCAAGCGCTTGAAGAACATGGTGAAGCGGAATCCCCGGGACGAACGTTGCTACATTGTCGTCGGTGGTGGCCCGTCAGGAGCGGTATGCGTGGAAACTTTGCGTCAGGAGGGCTACAGCGGCCGCTTGATCTTCATATGCCGCGAGGCCTTCTTACCCTACGATCGCGTCAAGGTTTCCAAGAACATGAGCGCCGACATCGCGTCCATACAGTTCCGCAACGCCGACTTTTACAAGGAATACGACATTGAGGTGTGGCAGGATGTGGCGGCCACAAAACTGGACACCTCACAAAAGGAGCTGCAGTGCTCCAACGGTTATGTGGTTAAGTACGATAAAATCTACATAGCCACCGGCTGTTCGGCCTTTAAGCCGCCCATACCAGGCGCTGATCTCGCGAATGTGAAGGTTGTGCGCGAATTCGCGGATGCCCAAAGCATTATGGAGCTGGTCCAGCCCGATCTGCGGGTGGTCTGCCTAGGCTCCAGCTTTATTGCGCTGGAGGCAGCCTCCTTCTTGGTGTCGAAGGTCGCCAGTGTGAGTAACAAAAAAACAATACAAAAAATGGATTGTGATAACCCCTCCTATCCTTCTTGTATCCCCTCTGCAGGTGACCGTCGTCGGACGCGAGAATGTGCCGCTCAAGGCCGCCTTTGGTGAAGCAATTGGTGCCCGCGTCTTGCAACTATTCCAGGAGAACAATGTGGAGATGCGCATGGAGAGCGGCATTACCGAAATCATTGGCGACGAAGACGGCAAGGTGGTGGAAGTGCAGCTGACCGATGAGACGCGCATACCCTGCGACCTTCTCATCATGGGCACGGGCTCCACCTTCAACACCAAGTTCATGCAGAAATCGGGGGTGCGTGTCAATAGCAACGGCTCGGTAGATGTGACAGATTTCCTGGAGACGAATGTTCCGGACGTCTATGTCGGCGGAGATATCGCCAATGCGCATATTTATGGCTTAGCCCACGATCGTGTCACCATTGGACATTATCAGCTGGCCCAGTATCATGGTCGCATTGCGGCTCTCAACATGACCGGATCGGTGAAGAAACTAGAGGCTGTACCCTTCTTCTTTACCATGCTCTTCGGCAAGGGCATACGATATGCCGGCCATGGATCATACAAGGAGGTCATCATCGATGGCAGCCTCGAGGAATTCAAGTTTGTCGCCTACTTTGTTAATGCGGCTGATACGGTCACAGCAGTGGCTTCTTGCGGTCGCGATCCCGTTGTTGCTCAATTCTCGGAACTGTTGTCGCAGGGCAAGTGTCTGGGACGCTCCCAAATCGAAAACGAATCGGATCGTCAGGCCTGGACTGCAGAGCTTAAGAAGCCGCTGCCCAAAATTCGTTGATCCATCGTTAGTCGACTTTGCTGGACGATATCGTATCGTTTGGGCATGAAACTGCAAGAGATTTGTTTTATATATTTTCTTTATAATTACCAACTACTCATAAATATCCCATAATGCGTCCCATATGTTGTAATCAGTATATGTAGCTCTAATCTAATGATTTGTTAAACTCAAAATTGCACAATTGCGTCCTTGTCCGGCATATTGTGGTAATTTTTTTTTTTTGTTTTTTTGGATTTGTATGCGCCACATATCCGTATTCGTCGTGTACATAAAATATTTGCATTTAATGGCATCTACAATTTGGCATTTCATTATTTACATTGCCTGGAGAAATACTGTACAGTACAGCTATAGGAAGATATGAAAAGCTATAAAGCCGATAAGGCATAAGCGACCAAAAATCTATTTGCGAATATCTCAAAATTAGGCCCAACACTTGAGGCTCAAAATAAGTTTTCTAAATAGGTTTCATTGTACTGTATTTTCGGGTATATACCTTATGTGTGACAAAAGTCTGGTCCATATAGTATTTGCAGTATAATTGGGTTAGATAATAGACAAAAGCTTATCATCATCATACATCATGTTATTAGAGATGCTTTTATAAAGAAACAACCTCTTGCGATTATTTTAAAATTAAACCCAACACTTTATGTTAAAAATGTGCTTACTAAGTATAAGTAGTTCAGAGACAGCTACTTTTTTGGTGTATACCTCATATGCGGCAAAATTGTGGATCATGAAATATAGGCGCAGGCGAATATCTGGAAACTGAGACCACAAAATGAGTTGTAATATCTGATATAATAACAGATCCATTGTTAGGCAACAAAAATTCGACTGTTGTGTAAAAATTTATTCAATTTCTTAGGCAAACTATCACAAATCAGTTGAAGTAGAGTTGTTTCTATTCCATTCTATTGTAAACAAATGTAATATATAGTATATAATGTATATAGTATTGCATTAAGGGCTTTGTTTTTTCTATGTATACTATATGTACATATGTATTCCATGAGAAACAAAGTTTTTGGTGCATAAATAGCTGCCAGCGTGTGTGTCTATGTGTGTTATACATATACATATTTATATACATCTTTATATATGTATGTACATATATATGGAACAGGCTCCATATACTGGTCCGCATCCTGGTCTGCGTTACTGTAGAGAAGCCAGGCGACGGCGCTCGCTTTCGCGGAATTCGCGACGCTTGGCAAGCGGCTGGCCCGGATTGGAGCGGACGATCAAACTTTTCTCGCAGTATGCTTGGGGATTGTAGGTTGGAACGTCCTCGTCCTTATCCCAATCCTCACAGCCAACAACAGGCTCCAGGTCGGGCATTTTGGGCGCCTTCTGAGCCGGCAGCTCTGCGGATTGCGGTTCTTCGACGCTCATGGCCCCGCGATCCTCACAGATCAACATGTGCGCCTTCAGCTCGTGAGCCGGCATGCGATGGATTGTGGAAAAGGGACAGATCGCCAACTCCAACGGCTTGTTTGAGGTGCGGGCGCAACGGTCCAAATGTTTTGCAAGTCGCAAGCGCAGAACCTTATGCGCCTTATTGTAAGGACATGTAACGAGCTCATTTGGATTCTTATTGGTCGACATTTTTCTCAATAAATTGAACCAAAAACCACAAAACACAAAAGACTCCGAAGACACTTTTTCTGCACAGAAGCAATGACAAGGACTTTTATTGCTCAACTTTTTTGAACAATGACAAGGATCTTTTGGTTTTTGACAGCTTCAGTTATCGCTTGGCGACCATTAATCGATTTGGCTCAGGGATGAGTTGGATTATCATACATATATAGAGAAGAGTTGGCAATACAGCTATCTATATCTAAATTTTTTCAGAGATACCCTCTGGCGACCTTCTAAATTGAACTGCAACGTCAAATCCTTAATTAAAAGCCACTCTTTACAGCCCTTCCACTGAGCTCCCATTATATGCTGATTGTGATCGATGTACAGATGCCATATTTCAATTTTTTGTCATTATTTCCGACAAATTTGGAAAAACTGTTCAGCATAAACCAATTCCATTTCCAAATTCAAAATTAAACCGTCTACTTCTGTCCATATTCAAGTATATTGCACAACATGGCATTAAGCCCCGAAATAGTTGTGGGAAATCGGAATGATTTGGATCAGCGAAGAAAATCTATGGAATGTCTATCGCGAGCTTCGTTGGCCGCGTGGCGTATGCTCAGTGGACTGAGCTATAATTTGAAGACTAAAACTGATAAAGCCGAGGAACTGGTCAGTGGTGAAAATGAAAAATTGCATATATATTTCTTTAGTGATAAGGAACCAATCACCTATTTTTGCATATGATCAATGTCTTTTTTTACACGGTTGGTTATGGAACCAATCTACCGTGCAAAAACAGAATTAGGTGTATTAGGTTTGCGTGGGCTGAAAAACGTAACAGGCAGGAGGAGGCGTGACAGACCCCACAAAGCATCTATATTCTTGATCAGCGTGACAAGACGAGTCGATCTAGCCCTGCCTGTCTGTCTGTCCGTCTGTCTGTCCGGCCGTATGAACACCTGGATCTCAAAAACTATAAGAGCTAGAGACACCAAATTTTACCCAAAGATGGCTTATGTGTGTACGCTATACGAGTTTGATTTATTTTTGTAATTTTTCCCCACACTTCCCCCCTATGGGGGTTTTCCCGATTTTCCGTTCGTGTAATCACCTCTATCTCGGAGACTATAAAACCTATTAACACCAAATACGCAGAAAATGTGTATTTTGGAATTTCTCTCCCTCTCCCCCGCAATTAGTAATTTTTCATAACTCAAATTTGGAAAATATCTCCAGTTAGTTATGAGTCCATATGCCAAGTTTCGATTTAAAAGGAAATGATATCCATATATACATACAAGGGCGTACGCAGGGGGGCCCGATGCCCCCCTACAACAAATTTTTATATAATCTCAGGCCAAACAATGCCCGCAGCATACACGCATATACTTACATAGACACAATTTCTATGTACATACTATACATGTGTACTTAGTACCTGAAATACCAGGGAAGGTAAAATTTTATTTTTTTTGTTTCTATAACTATTCTACACATACTATATACAGAGTATTTCAAAGTCGGGACAGCTGACTTTAACTTCGCTACTTGCTTATGTTACATCTTATGGCCATGCCCCACTTTTCTCAGATTACATTGGCGGGACAGCAGATCCAGCAGTATGCCAATATTTTGTGCGATACAAAAAGCTTGAACTCGAGATGCAATGCAAGCATTAGCGAAAATGAACGAATCTCGTACGATCTGTGCTTGAAGAAGCATGAATTGGAAATTCAACGGATGAAGCAGCTGGTGGAGCACAGTCGACTGGCCAGCGAGCTCCACGACAAAACCGAAAGCCTGCAAGTTACGAAGCATTGGCTGGAAAGCGAAACTTCCGAATTGCTTAAAGCAACAGCGAAAGTGACTAAAATGATCACCTTCCTCGACGAGCGCAAAAAACAGAACGAGATTTTGAGGGAGCACAATCAAAAATTGGCCGAAGAGGTCAATATATAAAGCAGTTGCTCCTTACCCATCTCCCTTTCTACAGACTGTACCCAAAAAGAATGAGAGGCCATACTAAAAAGTCGAAATGTATATGAAAACTAAAGTAGATCTGCAAGATTCTACATGACCGCCTGGGCCATGTCTATGTTGAATCGTCTCTATCTTTCTTTCGTCCGTCTGTTCGACTGTATGAACCTAAAGCATTTTTAAACCATAAGAGTTGCAGACACCAATCTTCGCATGCAGACTTGTCTGATCCTGATGCAGATAAATTTTATTTCAAACCATATATACATATATATATATATATATATATATATATATATATATATATATATATATACATATATATATTTATATAGCTGCCATAGGAAAGATTGGTGAAAGAAAGAAAAATTAGAAAAATTATTATTTACTTACATATAGTATTGTAACCAAATTTGCCATTTAATAGTTTTAGTTTTGTTTCAAAGAGCCTGCGGATATTCTTAAGTATAAATCAATTTCATTCGTAAAGTTGTAGAACTGTGGTGGACAGGGGGCGGGTAATGATCGTCCGCCTTGACCTTACGGTTCTATTCGTTTTCCCCCCCTTTTTTTCAGATTAAGGAAAAGTCGGAGCTTTTGAGATCCCGTACAGTTATGATGCACACCATGATTCACAATATGGGGGAGGAGCTTAATGGTGTAAATCTCAAAACCAAAGCTATTGAAGGTATCAGCGCGCAGCTTAAGAGGTAAGCATAAATATTTGTAAGTGTGCAGAAAAAACAAAATAATTTTTTTTTTTTGTGCTGTTAAACACAAATTTCGCATCTGAATAGAAGAATTGCAATGCTGAAATATTTGCAACGACAGCAAAGCGACAGCAATGGGGGCAAGAAAGAATGTGGACTATTTCTGAGAATGGCCATTACAATGCAAAATTATATGCAATACTGGTGGCAGAACTGTCGAAGAATATTCGAATTGATTGTGTACAGATGGCGGTACACAAAACAGCTGCGCGAGCCTTAAAGCAACAATGTCAATGTCAATTCGTTCAACAATTCATATAATTATAATTAACGAAATTAGCATTGGAGTGTTATTTTTTTTGATTACGACAGCAAAAAATAACGTACCAATAGGGCTGTAACTGCTGCGATGGCAATTGGCTTTGCATCGATGACGATAAGTGCGGGTAGCAGCGATAGGCACATCGATAGGCGTTGGAGCCGCTGCGATTGCCATCGCTATGTAAAAATGGAAAAAGGAAAGCAATAGCAATTTTTTCACACATACAAAACGCCCAATAATTACAAGTTTTGTAACAAAATAGACCAATTGAGAGGAAAAACGGCCGCATACAAAAGCCACACACCAAAGTCAGACGACATTCCAACTAAAAGTGAATATTTACGGTTGCGTTTAACATAACGATGAATTTTCTCGGGTTTGGCCAATCTGCCGAAATCGAAATTGTTTTTGATGGTGCGGAAAGCAAAAAAACTGCCGAAGTCAAGGGGGAGGATGGCAAAGTGGAGAAGATGCTTTTATTCTACGATGGCGAAACCGTTTCCGGCAAGGTGAGTGACAAATGCCGGCGCCGCCTCCCACAAGAGGTGTTCTCTTTTCTTTGCTTGTTTGTGACGAAGCGCCGCGCTGCATTGTGTTGCCCGCTGGTGGCCATTTCCGCTCCGCATTCAACGTTTATCAGCAATAACAGTCTATATATATGTATACGTATATACGATATCGCTTTGTAGCTGGCATAAAAGTGAAGCTCGTTTTTTTTGGTCCTCGTTTTAGGTGAACGTAACGCTTAAAAAGCCGGGCAGCAAACTGGAGCATCAAGGCATCAAGATCGAGTTCATTGGCCAAATTGAGCTGTTTTACGATCGTGGCAATCATCATGAGTTCAAGTGCCTAGCCAAGGCGTTAGCGCGTCCTGGCGACCTAATACAGAACACCAGCTACCCCTTTGATTTCCCCAATGTGGAGAAACAGTTCGAGGTCTATGCCGGCTCGAATGTACGTTTGCGCTATTTTCTGCGCGCCACCATAGTGCGTCGCATCAGCGACATTACTCGCGAGGTGGACATTGCGGTGCACACACTCTGCAGCTACCCGGAGATGAATAACCCCATCAAGATGGAGGTGGGCATCGAGGATTGTCTGCACATTGAGTTCGAGTACAACAAAAGCAAATATCATTTAAAGGACACGATCATTGGGAAAATCTATTTCCTGCTCGTGCGCATCAAAATCAAACACATGGAGATTGCGATCATAAAGCGCGAATCCACTGGCACTGGCCCCAATATATTCAACGAGAACGAAACTATCGCCAAGTACGAGATTATGGATGGTGCGCCCGTTAAGGGCGAAAGCATACCTATACGTGTATTTCTCGCCGGCTATAATTTAACGCCCACCATGCGGGACATTAACAAAAAGTTCAGCGTCAAATATTTTCTCAATCTGGTGTTAATGGACACCGAGGATCGGCGATATTTCAAGCAGCAGGAGATCACATTGTGGCGCAAAGCGGATATACCGCGCTACCACGCCGCTGCCCAACAGCAACAACAACAACAGCAGGTGCATCATCAGCATCACCAGCATGTGCCACAGCACGCGCCGCCCCATCTTGTGAGTGGCCCGGCCGCCCCAACAGTGGCCCACTCCCTCATTAGCAGCAGCACTGACAGCGAGGGAGCGGCTGCCGGCGTCGGCATAGCAACCTCGCCCACAACTGGCGCCTCCCATGCGGGCACCGAATCCAAAATGGGTCTCTTTACGCGCGAGAGCCCCAACCAGGAGTTCAGCCAACAGCAGCTCGATTCGCCGCCTCTGCCCAGCTCGCCACCGCTGACGCCTCACGAGCCTGTTGCCGCCGCCGCCGCCGCTGCACCGGCGACCGGCGGCAACGAACGTGGCATGGGCGATGGTGCCGCTGCGGCCACAACGAGCGCCTCCCCAGTGGCCATTATGTCACGCACGCCGCCGCCGCCGCTACTGCCTCTGGACTTCGTTGAGGCGCCTCCTCAACAACTCGCCGCCGACGGCGATGGCCAATTATCTTCGATTAGCTTCGATCTGCCAACGGATAATGCGGCGGCGGCGCCTGTTCCTGTCCCTGTCCTGAACCTCAAGGGAGCAGCCGATGATGATGAAGATGCTGATTTGACTGATGTGGCGTTGCCGGCAGCAACAGTGGTGGCGTCGACGGCGGCGACAAATGAAGCGAAAAAAGTGGCAGCCACGCCGTTGACTGCCGATTGATGAGCAGAAACCAGAACTGGAGGATGAAGATGACGATGATAGATGTGTGTGCGTGTGTGTGTGTGTAGCAGAGAAGCAGCAAAACAACAACAAAAACTATTAACGTATATAGTATATATATATATCGAGATATATATATATATATGTATCTATATACATATGCATATAATCGCATACGAGACAAATATGCAGCATATATCTATTTTTTTAAAGTTAATTTAAAATTGTTACGAATGTTTTATTACGGTTATGCGCGCACTCCTAACTTGGCCCACTCCTACTACCAATTCAATAAGCCAGCTCCACCTCTACTAATCACCAATCTCTGTCAGCAAATTCGAGCGTGCAGCCCATTTAAGAGTATTCTGTTGGAGCATAAATGTTATTAGAAATTAATATTGGTATTGAAATTATAATTGTATTGTATTGTACCTTCCTGCCCTGCCCCGCCCTGTCATATTTAGCCCCAAAAAGAGGGGGGAAACTCCCAAACCAGCAACCAACTCATTCATTCCCCTTGGAAAATCTGATTTTTCAATTAGAAAACCAATTCGAAGTGTTGAAAACAAAACAAAAAACAATTGCTTTCTAAAAGTAAAACGAACCGATGCGTGGGTATAACTACAATTAAATAAACGTTTAGAAAATAATAATAATAAAAACAAAACAACAAATGAAAGAGCAACTCAACAATTTGGGCCGATTAATATCTATATAGTATATATATATATAAATATACCATCTGTGTGTGCAGATGCGCATAAATTAGTGTTAAATGCACATTTGTACATACAATGTGTATACGAATGTATATACCCTGCATATTGTATTAAAATTAATCAAATTAATAAACAAATAAGCGAAACAAACCGAATCCAAAACAGAAAAACTCACGAAACGGAGCGAGACGGATGCAGATGTGTATAGACGGCAATCAGAGTGTTTCCGACCCTCTCAAACATTCCCGACATCTTCAAAAGGGAAGCTTATTCTTGACAACGTGTTCAATGGATATACACTAATATATATATCCCAACTTATTCCTGATCGGACCTACGCATATAAACTTGTATTTTATACGAATACAAGAGCTGTTATCCCATCAAAAATCCTCAAGAAAGAGCTCTAAATAGTTCATTTTCAATTGCCAAGAATATTCCAACCTTTTCTGATGAAATGCGAATACAAACTTCTTTTGAATTTCCGATTAGAGGCAATCTGACTGTTTCCGACTGCCTAACATTCCAAATAAGAGCTCTGTCTCCACACTGTGAACAATTAGTGCCCAGTCGGGATACATATTGAATATAACCGACAAATTACAATTCTTTTCGATCGATCTCAGATCTTCACTTATTCGTATAGTCTCATAATAAATACTATACTTCACAGCGATCATTTCTATATCAGCTGTCTTAGCAATTCTTCAAGTAGTACAAGTATATACAATCTCAAAATAGTCGGACTAATTTTCGCAGCAATTGAGGGTCTATTCTATATGTACTCAAATATCAAATATATTGTTATGATCTTACTTGTATATCGGGGTTCGTTTTTAGTTTTGAGAGCTGATCACTGCTTCTTAACAGCAATGGAAACATTTAATTGAAGACAAAGGTAGGGAATAATAAGTTTCCAAAAGCTGCAGTAGCTTCTATATTATTAAATAATATCTTAGCGAATGTCGAAGTGAGTCAGTTTTAAAATAACTTACAAGATATACTTGTGGTTAAACCAAATCGGATTTCTATATGCTGTAGCTGCCATAGGAGCGCACATTTGTTTATATGTATGTATATCGGAACCAAAAGGGGTATAGCGAAGTTTGTTGGTATATATATGGTATAGTTGACACGGGAACATTTGAACAATTGTTATGTAAATATGTTTGTATCAATATTTAATTGCTAGTATGAATTAATGCAAAAATTAACAGGCGCACACACTCAAAAGTTAATCCCAAGTTTCTTTGACCTTCAGGTGATTCAAGCGCTCCTCAATGGTGACATGCGGCTTCAATTTGCTCAATGTCTGTGCCTCGGTCCACTTGGCCACCATTTTCTCGCGTTTCTGCAGCTCTTTGGCATGGCCTGATGATTCCTCCTAATCACATGATAAAAATCATTTAAATTCGAATATGATATATGAGAGAGCATAAACATACCACTGTAAGGTAAGGATGCCTGAGTAGGAGCATTATCTGATCCTGGCGCTCGTATTCCCGCTTTAGCGACTCCATCGCGTTTTTGCTCACCGGCTTGATGAGACGCCGCATGCCGCGAAATATGTGACCGGGAACGGTTTTCTTGAAGAAGTTAATTAGCGTCAAATGCATTGTGCACTAAATTTATATATAATTTTACTCTATGATAAAAAAAACAATTGCCATATGTAACAACGAGCTCGTGCTGACAGCTGATTGGACTTATCGATAACTCCGATTAGTGGCGGTAGTACCTCACCGTACCGCGACAGTGCTGTCTGCTATCGGTTATCTAAAGCGCGCATTTTGTATTTTTCAAAATTAAAAGTAATACTCAATAAGTTGTTTTTTAAACATTTATTTGCACCTTAACTCTTGTGTCTGTTTATACATTTATGTATATCAATGTAGTAGCTATGTATTCGCGGTGGACAGAGATTGGGTTCTGTCCGAATTGAGCAGCATGGGCTTGCCAGCTCCATGGGGATCACTCTCGCTTTTAGGATTGATAAAATGCAATATTTCGAATGCCACCTCGACCATGATCAGTATGATGATCATCCACTCCAGGCGTATGTGATGGGCATCGTTCAGATTGTGCGATACTAGCTCGGCCAGCTCGACACAGTGATTGATCTTCTCGTTCATAACTTTGGTGCGTCGCGAGATGCTAAAGTACGAACAGACCTGCAGATAGAGGCCCTCCAGCTCCTCACGGTCCCAGTAAAAATCAGGTGCATCCAACAGATCGGAGGACAGATTTATGACATGACGCAGGGCGAATAGTTCGCCGGTTTTGCGCAGCACTGCGGCTCGGGAAATGCGCAGCCGGCGTCCACGCTTTAAGTCTTCCGTAAGGAACTCCATGGAATCAATGTAGCGATCCAACGTGGCCTCCCATATGCCCAGCTTGATGGACTGTGCCATCGCATTGGAGAATGTGTATTTGTACAAAAAATTATCATCGTCCGCTGTCACAAAGAATTTACCATTTTGGAAAAAGGCACGTGACGCTGTACTTATATCGCTGGTCTCCGCAATCAAATCGCCCTCCACATCGACCGCCGTCGATGGGATATATGTGTAGGGCATAGCTTCGCTCTCGCCGTGGACGAGCGCCGTCAGGTACGATTCGCGCTCGAAGGGGCGCAGAAAGGTCAGAACATTGTTCATCTCGACCTCATTACAATTCCAGAAAATAACAGAGCCCTCGCGAAAGAAGAATATTTCGCGAGGCTGCTCACCCACCGGATACTTGGCCGTCACATACAAAACGTTCTGCTCCACACCCAAGTTGTCGGTGGAGAAATAGCGCTTTGTCTCGTACAGATTCTGCAGTTTTAGTGCCGCGTGCAGTTCATCCAGATTATATTCCTCGGCGGTGGTGAAGCCGCGCGCATTGAGAAAACCCAATGCGGACAGATCGTCGACGGCAACGCGTTTCTTGCGTTGCGTACGCGTTCTCGCTGTTAAAATGGATTCATGCGGCTCCCCCGCCACTGGCACGGCAATCGGAATCTGCTTTGTCTTGAGCTTTGGTTCGGCGACTCCAGTGGAATCGCTAGCTGGCGTAGTGATAGCGACTGTATTGGATGGCGTTGTGGTTGTTGCCATAGTCCTGCTGCCTAACGGTAGCCATGTGGTTCGGAACCAGCAGCTGCTGGCCACGACTGATGCAACATTACGGGTATGCAGGTAAGTCTGCGGTTTTGGCAGCGACGGGCGTATACTCTTTAAGAGCGTCTGTTGAATGGTGAGGCGTACGAAGTTCATGTTGAGAATTGTATTCATGAATTACACTGTTAATTTTCCATAATTTGGTGCAGTCTAGTATGGAATTACGACAGCGCCTGCAACTGTAGACTCATTTGTGCCCGGCAAAAGAAAACTGTGTGTTGGGCAGCACTTTTGCATTAGTAGTGCTACCCATCCAGCAATGGCAATTTCTCTTCTACTGCCCTATTGCAGCATATTTAATGATCATAGGAACCTTTACAACAATATATACGGAAATTATAATATACACCCAGGATTTAGGTTATATATATTTTGTGCTTTTAAAATAAACAGTAATAATCAGTTTTTTTTAAATGCGCCGCTGCTGCAGCTATCGCTGTAATCGATAAATCTGTGTACCATTCCCAACTGCTTGGCGCTGTCGTCGATTGTTTGTGTTTTCTGTCTGCTCGGCGTCCTCCTCGTCTAACGGGGCTCTCATATGACGGAGAAAATGGAGACTGCATTGCTGGCCAATGTGAAAAAGCTATACGATCACCAACTATACGAGTGTGTCATCCCAGCTGTGAGTAACGAAGAGATGAACGTGGGAAGTACCATTTATAATTCCGTATCCTTCTCTGTCCCCCATTAAGGCCAGCCTGCTGAGTACTCTGCTGCAGAATGATCGCACTTTGGCCACCCTAGAGATGGAGTACCAGGTAATGCTCTATATGAGCAGCGCAAACTACAAGGAGCGCCACTATCGTCTCGCCTGCAAGCAACTGGAAGCCGTCGTCCTTATGCACAAAACAATGGTGCGTTTCAAGGCCACCTACTTGGCGGCCCTCGAGAGCACCTACAGGGAGTTCGCGGATGTCGAGCTGCGCTACAGAGTTGCCGTCTGCTATCGGGAGATGGGTGAACCGAATATTGCCATCAGCACACTGCAGGCGGTGCCAGCCAAATCCCGCACACCTAAACTGAACATGATGCTGGCTCGGCTGCTCCATCACGGGTGTGGCACCAACAAAAACGAGGCGGCGCTCGTCTATAAGGAGGTGCTGCGCGACTGCCCGATGTCCATGAAGTCAATTGAGGCGCTCCTGGAGCTGGGCATCGATGGCAACGAAGTAAACTCGCTGGTGGTCAATGGTAAGTGACAGAGAAAAACTGAAATTCAGACTTTCATTAAACGTCCTCCTCCCCCAACTACAGCCGCCAGCTCGCCAAAGAACATTGAATGGCTGAGCATGTGGATTAAAGGACATGCCCAGATGTACGGCCGTAAGCATTTGGAGGCGGCCAAAACATTCCAGCAGCTGAACGACACCACCAACTTCCATCAGAACGAGCATCTGCTCACCCACATTGGCAAATGTTTGTATTATTATGGGAATTTCACACAAGCGGAGCATTATTTGGGCATGGTGGCGATGATAAATCCTTACAACATGGACGCCTTGTGCCCTCTAGCCGTTGTCTATGCGTTCAACATACAGAAGAAGCCGGAGCATGAAAAACTCGTCACCCAAATGACAACCACCGGTGATTTTAGCTCTGAACATTGGTTCATACTCGCCCAGAAGCTCTATATGAACGCCAAGTTCGATCGGGCGTTGTCCTTTACGGAGCGTGCGCTCTCATTGAATCCCCGGAACATTGAGGCGTTGCTGTTGCGTGGCAAGCTCTTTCTGGTCGTTGCGCGTCACAATGAAGCGATCAGCGCCTTTCGCAGCGCCCAGTGCTTTGCCTCCTACCGCTTCGAGGTCTACAAAGGACTCTTCCACTGTTATGTTAATCTGAAGCGCATCAAAGATGCTCAGAATATGTGTGCCCTGGCCGTACGCTATTTTCGGACATCGCCGCGCAGCTACACGGTGAGTGTTCACGTCCGTCCATTCGTTCATATGTTTTACTGTATGAAGCTCGAGAACTTTTGAGCCATTAATGCTAGGTATACTATATAAATGTTAGGAACGATCGGTGGATTACATTTTATTTTAGAGAGGGACAGGTACTTTAACATTTCACTCGTTTATGCTGTTTAGATGTTTGGACGCACACTCTTCCATTCGACGAATCCGACAGCCAAGAAGAATGCCAAAAAATTTGTTGAGAAATCCCTAGAAATAGACGAGCATTATACACCTGGAGTAGCACTGATGGTTGAGATTTGCCAATTCGAGGGCGCCACACAGGAGGCGATTGTATTGCTGAAGAAGCAGGTATCGGGATTTCCACATCCAAAGCTATTCACCATGTTGGGAGATCTGTTGAGCGCCGAGAAAGAACTGAGCAGTGCCCTCCACTATTATACGCTAGCACTGGGGTAGGTTTGACATCACTTGGCATGATATATTAAATGCAAAGTTTTCCATTTCCATCGCCCAGCTTGGAACCCACTTGCCAGCGTGCTTTGGAAGGTGTAAATGCTTTGGGACAGGCAGCACGCACGGCCAGCAGCACGAGTAAACCAAGTGAGCAGAGTGGGAGTGGGAGCGGGGTCGCGAGTGGAGAAGGCAGCAGCAGCAGTAACAGCAACAGCACAGGAGCTGGTGGGAGTTGCAGTAATGCGGCGACAATGGCCACGCCTTGTGGCACACCAAACCATGAGTGGCTGTTGGACTGTGAGGAGACATCGAACGATGCTTTGGAAATGTCCTCCTCGCCAGCCGTGCCGCAGGACGACGCCGAATCGGAAACGTTCTCGGAACCTTTCTGGCAGGATGTCGATGGCGAAATAACAAACTAATTTGTCGTTCGTTTGCTATTCTGAAATGGTGCTCGACCCCCAGACTCTGCCAGCTTGCCAGCATGGCTGCTCTGATATTCCTGCAATCCCCATTCATCTCACATTCCATTCTGTATTTATTCCATCGCTGGAAGTTCGTGTCAGTCAAACGAAACAAAAGCCCACCCCATGTTGTCATGTTAAATCATATTGTATGTATGTATGTATTTAGTTGTAGGCATATTTTTCCTTAACTTGTGTAGTTCGAATGAACTGTTTTGATAGTATTATTTTAAAATGTAAGCAAATGTGTAACATTAATTCGCAGACTAGTTTCAATCGAATGTTATTGATAAGTGTCGTGCAATTTACTTTGCTCGATTTTTGTACCAGTCAACGGCAAACAAAAACCAAACCCATGATGTCATGTAAAATTCTTTTGTTTCTTAAAGTAAAGTTCGAATAATCTGTTAGAATTATTTAAAAATTTAAATGTAATCTTTATCGTGCGGCAGTAGCACCACTCATCGATGTTATCGATTAACACACAGAAGTTTCGTAGCACACAGCTTTGCGCCTAATAGTGCCGTTAACCATATGTGCGCCAGTCTTTTGGTATTTACGCTCATTCCGCTCCGCAGCCACACTTTAACTTTAATTAGACTCGAGAGCATTTGGCGCGCCAAAAGTCAGTTGTTTATCAAACGCGTCGCCGAGTACATGTGTGCGCACCGCTCTGAGCGCAAGTTGCCGCTGTTTTCAATCGACATTTGTGTTCTTTTTTTTTGTTGTATATTTTTTTCTGTGCCAATCGATCATTATTTAAACAATACAGTTTAATACAAATTGCAAACTGGGGGCAAACAAAAATTACGGGACATATTAAATTTCACAGTCCGAAATATCAATTTTGAAATGTGCGAATATATTGCAATTAATTAGATTTGATGCGATGATTAAATATTTATGAGCCTGATCACGACTTTTTGTTTACTTTTTATGTTGGCGTGTGTTTTTGTTGTTGTAATTGTTGTGCTTTTTGTGTCCATAAATTCGCAACGTCTTTTTAACATTTGAATTGAAACACATTTACATAAAATCAATTGTCCAATCAAAAGATTTAAGGTAAGTTTTTTTTTAAACGGTACAATAAAGTATGCTAAATTCTGAATTTAAATATTGTTTTAAGGTTTTGTTCCTACTTAAGAGTTATTTTTGATTGCAGAATCATTTATTTATGTAAAATTTGTGAATTTGCTTTAGAAATTCGCAATTTGTTATTCATTTCGCTTTTCAAAGCATTAACGGTTTCTCAACTCTTTTGCTGCTTATGTACAGTTGTTGCTCTGGTTTTTGATCTTCTTCTTTGGTTTCTCGCAAATTCCGCAACGCTGAAATGTAACGGCTTATGTGTGGTTACACATGTTTGATTTGATTGTAGCATCCAGAAACTGAAATCGAAACAAAAATTGTTTGTTTCTTATTCTTGATAAGTGGTGCAAAAACGTTTGCGCAAAATCTTTGGCTCGCACACGTTTGCAAACCCAAAATATTGTACATACTTCCCGCTATCTTATAGGTAGGTTTTTCTAGCAGGTCAGTATATTGGATACAACTTATCAGCCAACTACAGATGCGTGCTCAGCGAACACCAAAAAATTGAAAACAATACTTACATATCGACTTACACAAGTGCAAACATGTGTACATTAATTTAAATTTCGTTTCCATTTACTATTCAATAATTTGCAAAACTTTTTATAAGAATGCTGGCTCATGAGCTCATCATGAAAGACATATGTACATACATATGTGTGGCTTGACACTTTCGGAAGGTCTCGACACTGGCACAATACTAGAATTCCTAGTAATTGTAGTTTTTATTAAAAAGTTTATTTTGTTGCTTGCGCAAGCTTGCAAAATATTTCCTGTGCTCGGCAAATAAAACAAGTGATTTGCGGTAGGTGGGGGAGACGCATTTACTTCGCCGACTCTCTCAATCTGACAATGAATGAGAACAACAGAAACCGATAACGGATCAATTTTGATAAGAAGAACAGCACAAAACAAAAAGGCGTGTTTTGTCTGCGCCTGAATGTGTGTGTGTGTGTGTATGTGCGTGCGTGCGTGCGTGTGTGGGTCAAGCAGTTGCCAGCTGTTTACGCCTGTTGGACGCACAAGTACATTGAGAGTGTGTTGAGAGTTCGTCAAAGAGCGGCCAAAGAGAATCTGGAGCACAAAGTTGCCGAGCAGGGGGCGGCTGCTGTGTCAATTTCGTCAAATGTTAACGGAACGAATGCAGCTGATAAGCGAACGACCCGCTGGCTACTCGCTGCAGTGCGTTACAAATGCGCCCACAAACACAAACACACACACACACACACTCTTGCTGATAAATACAAAAACACATGCACACATGTGTTGTACATTCTCGTAGATTTCCATGGAGCGCTCTTTGCTCGCTCAATTGTGCTGAGCCTTAGCCTGAGCCTCACTGCCTGCTTCCTCCGTCATATGTTTTTTGTTTGGCAGCGCATGCGCTCTGCCAGGACCGCAGTGCCACCGAGCACCCGCACACACACGCACACACCAGAACTAAATAGATGGCGATGGCGCCTATGGTATACAATAATTTTCGACAAGAGCATGAAATCAATGCACCGTGGCACTAAAGTAGCAATTGTCTGTCATTCTTAGGACGATTTACAAACAAATGACTTCAATTTGTAAAAATATTTGAGTTGCTCAGCAACTGTTTGAAAGCTGGCAATATAAACTACTATTCAAATGGTTCAAGCGTCTCTGGTATTTTTGAAATATATATAAATATATATTATTTATTTTCTCAAGATAAATATATATTTATTTCATTTAAAACATTAAATTGAGAGCATAATACATAAAATGAATACTTAAAACTAGTCCTTAGACTCAACAATATTTCAAGCTGTAATGGATTATTAGGATTATTATGGATATTGTGGAAGAGAGAGAGAGAGAGAGAGTGCTAGATTAGGAAATAAAAAAAGTATATAGCATAATTTCCAGTAATAATAATAATAAAAACAGAATCAGAGTTAAACCGCTGATGAAGATGTTTATAATTAATCAACATACATACATACATATGGGGGAGTAGGAAAACATTGGTTCTTATTTTTGTTCTTTGTGGTTGGTGAGTTGTTCTTTTTATGGCAGTTGTGTCACACACATAACTGACTAATTAAAAGTAAATAAAGGGTTACGGATATGACGAGGCGGGCGAAACTTAAATTTTACTTTCGATTCTTTGTTACTCAAGCTGTAACAAAGTGTGTTTTTTTTTGGGAGGAGTTGTACCTATTTTATGACAGCTGTGTCACATAACAACTGACTAATAAAATGCCACTTCAATTTCGCTTTCGATTCTTTTGTTCAGTTTGCGGTTAATTTCTGGGGCAATGAGTTGTTTTGTGCCACTGTGCGGCAACTATTATTACAGCCTTATAAATGGAGAGAGAGATGGATGGTGGGGAGCGGCAGGACTTGCGCGGAAGCTGCTTTATGGATGTTGCGTTGCGACCCTCCGCCCGAATCATACTCGGCGCTGCCCTCGCAGTCGCAGTCATATGGTCGGCAATCGTCCAGCCTGGGACCTTACTGCAAACCTTGCGAGCAATCGCCATAGTTTTCGCGATTTGTCTGCGGCTTTGCACGGACGTCGTCGTCGTCGTCGTCTGTCTGTCTCCGTGGTCGTCACTATTGCCGCGACGCCGCCGACACTGTTGTTGCTGTTTAGTCGTGTTGTCTTCTTTCTTGTTTTGTTATTTTTGTTTGGTATTTTTTTTGTTTTTTTTTTTGGGTGTTAGTGTAGGTGTGTGTGTCGCGTGTAGTTCATAAAAAAATTTAGCACATTTACCGTTATAATAACGTGCTTCCTTACCGTTGTGCTGTTCGCAGCCAACGCCGACGCCGACGTTGACGTCGCGTGCAGAAAAAGTAAGCGCAGAATATAACGTATTTTCCTTTTTGTTGCTGCCGTTGTTGTGCTGCTTGCGTTTTATTTTACCTTTTTTTTTTCTTAGGGCTGGTGTAACAACCATCGATTTGCGTGTCGCGTTATTAAACAAAAGCAAAAACAACAACAACAACAATCACTGCAGCAGCAGCAACAACAACAATAAAATCTGATTCAACAAATCAAAGAAAATTGCGAAAATTGCAAATAAAAAGAAATGAAAACAATGGGCAAGCAAACGCCCAATTTTTCATTAACATTGTTGTTGCTGTTGTGTTGCGTTTATTTTAATTCTTTATTGTGTGCAAATCTGCGTGTGTGTGTGTGAAGGAATGTACGGAATAGCCAATGAGTCGATTAATACATAGGCGCATGCATGGAATGATTGTAAGGCTGTGTGTAAAAACTATGTTTTTGAGAGTAAAGGACCGTTACACCGCAAAGAAATACGCCCATTCCTTATAAAGTATACATACATATGTATATACATACTTACATGCGTATACGTTTATACATCTATAGATATGGGTGCATGTGCGTGTGTGTGTGTGCAGACAAAACTGATAACAAAGCCAGCGCCGTTGCAATAACAACAACAATGACAAAGAGAAAGAATAACACCACGCATTGCAATCTCAGCTCTCAATTGCCAGTTAACAGTTCAGTTCCAGCTCAGCAGTGCCATTCGGCGCGGTCCTCCATTTACACACACACACACACACACACACACACACACAGATGCACATGTATACATATGTATGTATGTATATTTATGCAAATAAACAGACAAGAAGCCGACAAGAACCCTCCAACCAAATCTACATACAAACATTTTTAATTTATGTTATTCTATTTTATTTCATTTGTGTCAACAAACAAGAATGTCGGCTGCATATGGGAAACCATTATGAAGCAAAAAGGAAGGAAGTCTTTAGAAATGTTCAGATATGTTCCCAATTTCGCAAGCAACTAAATTTGTGGAAATCTGCTCGCCTTTTCCGATTTCTACAAAACAAGAGAATTGATCAAATTTAATGCTGGTTTTTATATGCGAGTAAATGTTCTCTCATAAAAGGGACGCGGAAATATATAATTTCAATAATAAAATATAATAAAAAAAAGTAGAGTATAACGTTACAATCGTGCCTGCCCAACTCTTAAATACCCCCCACCCACACGTTTCTCCCCAGTCTACAGTCTTCCGGGTAAAATGTTGTACCATTTATTTGTTTGACAGAACAGATCCAGTTTACCGATGTTGATAAAACTTTGGATTGTGGATAGGCACTAGTAATAGAATTATAAATGACAAATTTGCTATCAAGATATAAACCAATAAGACACCAATAAGGCATTATGAGTAAAAAAAACGTATGAATACGAAACATTAGTTAGTAGTTGTGAATGGTATTATACTTAGTAGTAGTAGCTTAAATTTATTTTATTTTTTTTATTTTAACAAATTAAATCTAGTATCTAATACTAAATTTAATATTATATTAACGAATACTAGCTACTCGGGCCTTCGACTCAGCTTAAATTAGTAAAGGAAATATTAAAGATTTTTTTTAAGGAAGCTTCAAAATGTTCTTAAATTAAATAGATCTCTAGGTAAGATTGGGAGTGCGGAGTCTTTTGAATGCTGTTGAAACGCCACATTTCTTGTTAAAGGGTACGCAGGAATCTCTAGGATTCCTGTGGATTCTTCTGGTAAGCTGACAAATCTCTAGATTAATGGTTAATGGGAACGAACGTATCTCTAGGCTAGATTGTGCAGAGTCTTCTAAGGAGCTGATGAGTCCCTAGATTTCTTGTCAATGGGTACGAATGGATCTGCTGGAGAGCTGATCAATCCCTTTCTTGCGAATGTGTACGAATGTATTTCTAGGTTAGATAGTGCGGAGTCTACTGTCTTAGATAACTTCTTTGTGTTGTTCAAAATATCTGTCTCCCATATGAAAAGCGAAACTCTGTAGCTTTTATAGAAAAGCTATTCAACAACTTTTATAATGGACATTTTCTTAAAATGTCTGCCCAAATTCGCAAACCTTTTGAATCACGTATGTACATACATATAATTCCAACATATAGTTGCCTTCATTGTTGTTCAGATATAGCATAGACACTACATTTTTTTGGCAGACAATAGACATTGAGTATTGGGAAAACTTGTATGAGTCATAAATCTATACTTTACCAGGTTGGGCATTATACGTATATATATGTCGCCTGTTTGTTCGCCCAGCACGCAATGTCGCGGTAAAAGTTCCTCTTAGTGTTGTTTTTGTTGTATAATACACGTGTGTGTGCGAGAGTGTTTGTGTGTATTTGTGCAATGAGCCACAGCGGGGCATTGAGTCATAACAGCTGTTTGGATTGTGGGTGTTGCGTGTACGAGTATGTTTGATGACTAAAGCCGAAAACTATGGCCTTTCTTCACACTCATGCTCGCGTCCTTGATGACCGCATGTGTAGGCATTTAGCAGGACCTTCCCACAGCACGCACACTCACACATCGTCCTTTCTGGCAGGCCCGATAAAAGGTCAACGAGCAGAGCCTTTCGTGGCACTGACCTTGCCTTGTTGAGAATAGCGATATGACCGCCAAACGCGACTTCTCATAAACATATGTATGTCCCTTTTCGGAATAGTGTATAGATTTTAATCCCCAACATATTAAGATATGACTAGAGATTGTAGAGTCCCAAATTAATTATATTAATTATTTTCTAAATTACGTTAGTCTGTTTGTCTGTATGAACGCAAATATCTGGTTTAACAGCTGGAAAGCTGATTTTTTTGGAGAGAAATTAGATTTTTGGCAATTCTTTACATATGGGGATATAACCCAGAAGATTGTTATGCGATTCGACCGACTGGATTTGGCTCGATCTTTATAAACATTATTACCATTACCATGTCCATATACTATAGTTTGTACTAGAGTTCGTCCGTTGATCTATTTGTCTGCATAAACGCAAATATCTCGGAAAGTGCTTATAGGAGCTATACTCGCAAAGTTACTGATTTATAACGTATGCAATTTTTATTATTTATTTATTTATTTTTGACAAATATCTGTCAATATCATAAGCAAGAAACATAAAATAACATAAAAACATATGGGATATGCATTCAGATATTAAATATAAACGATAGAAACAAAAAAAATTAAAATTAATATTAAATAGAATTACAATAATTTTTTTAAAAAAAAGTTAATATATTAAAGAGCAGCAAAAATATTATTCAGGCCTTAAGAAATTAAGTATGCATGATTTAATCGAACTGACAGAGCTCTCATGGCCAAAGCGATGGCTCAATTGATTATAGTTGCCACATACAATTATATTAGTTCAAAACCTAAATTTACCCATTCACGTATTATAACTAAAAAGTTATGCTTAAGAAACAAGCACTCACGATGAATTCAATTAAGCCTTACTTTATTGAAAGCGGGGTATAAGAAGGCTCTGCTCTGCCTGCAAAGATCGAAAGAGAGAGCGGGGGAGAGAGGGAGGGCTCTTAACAGAAAGATAACATAATTGCTTAACATAAATTAATTGTTCTGCTCCGAATGGAACACTTTAACAGTAAAAGTGTGAGATGGCAGGTAGGTTGGAGGGCACCCACTACGGTTGCAGGATAAATTTACGATCCGACAATAACTTCCTGTTCTTGTTGTTCTTGTTATGGTTGTGGTATGTGTGCGTGTGTGTATGTTTATTTTGCCATTTCCGCTTGTCAAACATTTGTTAGCTTTTTAGCTTATTACCAATTTTTAACATGTGCTCTCTCTCTCTCCATATGTGTGTATGTGTGTGTGTGTGTGTGATTGCGAATTAAGCCTACATGAGAGCTCTATTGGTGTTGTTGTTTTTAGTGTTGTCGGTCCCACGGCGCATTCATCATCAAAGTTTTCGCGCACTTCGTCGCATACGTATTTATTTACGTAGGCCATTTGAGCCAAGTTAACGCCTTTATTTATTGACTTATTTGTTTAGAGCGCCCGTTTCTATGTCTCTATGTATATATCTGTGTGTGTGTGTGTGTGTGTGTGTGTGTGTGTGTGTGTGTGTGTGTGTGTGTGTAACGCTCACTCGTGTTCAATGACAAAAAGCAAATAAAACTCCATTTACCGTTTTCTAATTGCGTTTTTTTCTCACATACATATCAGCCTGTGTGTGTGTGTGTGTGTGTGTGTGTGGTGCCTGCTGATGTCACACTTTTGACTTCAAGTACCAACGTTTTTTTCACTTCACTCATTTCTGTTTCTTTGTTATTTCATTCCAACAGATTTGGCTGAGCGGGGCGAGCAAAAGCCTAACGGCAACATCAAAAGATCGGTAAGTGCGGATTCTAGTTATATATTTGTCCTTGAGCTCTTAAATCGTTGGTGTGAGCTGCCACTTGGGGATCCCCCTGATATCATCCACTCCATGCATTTTGTACTTCGTAAGACGCAAACATAAGTGTGGCTCGTAGCTTCAATAATTAAAAAAGAAGAAGTAAGAAATGAATACTTCAATATTTGATCAGAACAAACATCATAATTTTTTGTTTATATGTAGGTATGTACATATCTGTAGCATTGAGATTTTAAAATATATAATCAATATTTGATAGCATTTTTTTTGTTTGACATTTTTCATTTACGCTTGCATTTTTCATTTTCGTTTTCTTGCAAAGATGGTTAGATAAGATGTAGCCCTCAAATGTGGTCAAAATTACAAAAACCCGCCGAAGTTGCGTAAAAACTTTTTGCCTATCTGACCGTACAAGAACTCTTAAGAATAATATACAGTACCTATATTCAAATATTAGTTGCTATATTGAAATATTTGAGCTATAGAAATTATATGTTATTCTTAAGGACTCTTAGTCTGACCTACAGGCATGCGTAAAAATGTCAAAAATGTATTTGGACTATCCCTAAACACAAGAACCGACAGAACATCAGCAATTTCAAATGTAATTTAAATTTCATTTGGAAACAATAAGTTCAGGCCCGATTCAGCTGTAGTACAAGTATATACATACATATCTAACCCATATAGAGAAATGCAAATGACTTTTTTTTGACAAAGAACCTCCATTCTATGATGGCATTCTGTAGAGTGTCCTTTCAAGTCGTAGCCATAATTTCCTCATTGGAGAATAAATAGAACATGATTGACTAACAAGCTTATCGAAGTTAGAAAAATAAACCACTTAGTCTGGCGTCACTTTCGCGTAAGTTTTATCTGTAAACGGCAAAAAAAAACAGGCAAAGATAGCCTTAACTGTGTTTATATTTGTAGATCTAACAATCGCTTGTTCCCACACTAATCGCTCATTCCACGAAAATCGTCAGATATGTTGGCATGATTCACAAAACACGAGTACATATACATAATTCCCATGTGGCGCTCGACAGTGCGTTGGCAAAGACCGAAATAAATTCAAATACGAAATGTGTCGTCATTTCAAGACGGTACGATGACGACGCCCCCCACAAGCAAATATTTTTAAAAAATATATATATATATCTATATACACGTAGATATATACTACATAAGTGTGGTGTAGGTCAAGAAATACTGTAAATAAATATCGGTGCAGCATTTCTTAACACATTCAGTCACTCATTCCATCAGTCGATTATTTATTTATTACTTATTGCCAAAACGACACAACAACAACAACAGCAAGAAAAGAAGAAGCCAATAAATAATTTTTATTGCATTTTCACATTTCAGTTTCAGTTTCAACTTTGATTTCGAATTTCATTTCCACAGTTTCGTGTGCAAGCATTTCTGTACTTCAAAGTCCCCCCCACACTGTCCCTCCACACCATTCCATTGCCTTATCAAGTCTATGTCTATTTCTATATCTAAATTAGAGCTGTGCGTGACTTTCGTGCGTGACTTACGACCGCCAACTCTTCACAATAAAACTCTGTTGCACTGATCGCTTTTATGGAGGCTATACGATATATAGATTTTGATGATCAGAATATTATGGCTATAGGCTATAGGCTATAGTGCCATAGACATACTGAATACACAGAAAAAAATTTTTAGTACTATGCAATATATATATATATATATATATTTTTTTTTTTTTTGCACTTATCGACTCTATAAAAACTTTAACGCATAGTGAAAGGTTAGTTATTGTACGGCATTAGTACATGAGCTTGACATGTACTTGTATAAAAAATTTGCTTCAGATACACATCTACATAAACAACTTAGTTACATATGCCACCAAGAGTGATTTATGCACCCATAGTGCTGAACCCATGACAGCTATATAAAATGGTGACAAACTTGCTTTGCGTATTGAAATGGCAAGTCTACATACCAAGTTTGGTGGTCCTAGCTCTTGTAGTTTTAAAGTTCTAGAGGTTCGTACAGTCGAACAGTCGGCAGTTCGGACGAAGAGACGTGCTTGTCTATCGATTCGTGTTGTCGTGCTGATCATATAGTATGTATGTATCTGGGGCTTTGGGAACTGCCTCGCCTCAGTCCCAAAGAAAGTCTGAGAACCTCGTGAGCGTGACAGCAACTGAACAACTTTTTGTCACGCGTACAGCTCTAACTTTCAACACAGTACGAGTATTGCAAGAATTGTCATTCAAGCGACCAACTTAAAGACAATTTGGGCGAACATATACAAGTACACGTACAACGAAGATATAACGACATATACTCGTATCTATGTACGTGTGTGTGTGTGTGTGTGTGTGTACCGGATGGCTGCTTGCCCAACTACTGTGCGGGAAGTGATTTGTTTTCATTCAATATTTATTAATTGTTATCAATTGAATAATTGCGTCGAATGTTTTCCCTTTTCTTGCGCGTTTGCGTTTGGAGACTCTCCAATGGGGGCTCAAATGTCCAATGATTGTCGGATGACGGATGACCACCAATAATCTAAAGAGATCGTTGTCTAGATTGTAAATGTCAAGCTGCGATTAAAGCATTATGAGCAAACGTTCAGACTGACAGATATGGTGACTGAAGGAACACGACATTTCTGGAGCTAATTGTAATTGCTGCGAAAAAAAAAGCTCTATAATTATAATTATCAGAGGCTGTGTTTTCACAATCTCTGTGCCAAAAAGCAGATACGAAAAACATGCTTATACTTGTCATTAAAAAAACATTGGCAATCAGACAGTCTCTCAAAAAAGTATTGTCATTAAATATTTGTCACAAATTTAAAACAAATTTGAATTTGAACCAATTCCTGCCACAGAATTGAGGATAAATTGAGGATATAAGCTTATGAAGAACCAAATCGGTACAATAATCGTATATAGATTGTTTCAAGGTTTCTTGATATCTTCTTAGCAAGTCGCAGAATTTAAAATGAATATACAATATATATATTAATACAATATAGTATATAGTAAGTCGGTTGATCCGTCATTGTGAATTTATTTTACAAAGTTGGATTTCTTTTTTGGCAAAACATAACCATAACAGCATTAAACCAAGTGTTTCAAGTGATTCCCACTTCTCATTTGAGCCTCAAATAAAGTTAGAAACGGCGCATACGCTTCTAAATTTATTTGAAGCTCAATGGAGATTGTGGTGCTTAATTGGAAAGAATTGTGAGTTTCTCGCTCATTAATAAATTATAGTTGCCCGCATAACTTTTGCCATTTTTTGTCGCAACTGTACAGCTCTGTCGATATCTACTTGGGCGATGTCGCTGATGGCGCTGCGGAGCCATAACCCCACCCTCCAATCTCTCATTGCTCTCTGCATTACAATATTAAATTATCGTCAATGATGGCAACAACTCCGGGTGTCGTCGTCGTCATCGTCGTGGTTGTTATTGTTGTCTGATTTCACTGTCGCGGCTGTCGCAGCTTCTGCTTTGTTTGCGCTTAAAATTAATTACGCAGACGCATCTCAGTTGTTGGTGCCGCCACAGCCAACAGCCAACAGGCAACCGCCCGCCAGTTGTTGCCACCGCCAGCCGACAGCCAGCCGACAGCCAGCAGCCAGCAGCTAGCAGCCGCCACCAATTTCCAACGATCAGCCGCCAAGCGGAGGATAAACCGCGCACAGCTTGTGAATTTAGTTGTTGGCGCACGCAATTCGCCGACTCCGCCCTCAGGGCACAATGTGGTCATGGACCCGCATTGTTGTTGTTGCCATTTCATTTGTTTATTAATTACTGGCCCGATCACACGACTCACAGCTTCAGCAGATCAGAGCTCACAACTCACAGCTCGCAGCTCAAATGGTTGCCAGCGAGCCATCGAGACATCAGTCTCATTATCGATGCTCGTGTGGGTTGTGGGCGAGAAACCCTTGAAGTTGCCAACAAGCCGCATACATCTATATCTACGTGCATATACACATCCATATAAATAAAGATGACAAAGAAATGTCAACTTTCAACTGCAAGAGCAGTTGCCGTAGCCTTTGCAGGTGAGGGATTTTCTTTTGAAAAGTCAAGTTTTTGCTAAACATAACAATAGTGGAACGATAGTGGAAGAATTTATAGCAAGACACTACAATGTGGCCGAGAAACTTGTCTGCACTTTTGTAATACTTCAAACTGAGTTGACTGATGGCTAAGCAAACTACTAATAATGGAAGCACTAGTTCAAAGCAGAGAATTCAAAAAGAACATTAAACCTATTGAACAAGTTTGGTTATTCTAGCTCTTGTACTTTCTGAGATCCGTGCGTTCATACAGACGGACGACGGACGGACGGACAGACAGACGAACATGGCTATATCGACACGGCTTGTCAACCTGATCAAGAGTATATATACTTTGTACATACACTTCCACAAAACTAGTATACCCTTTTACCCTTTGGCTACTGGGTATAAAAATATTGTATTACTCTTCCTCATTCAACTAAAATGATAAGTGTAAGCAGCGAATCACCTTAGAGCAGCAATAGCCTTTGCAGGATCTGAGAGTCAACCAATGAGAGACTGCTTTCGAAATCCCAACTTAAAAGAGTTCACACTGTCCTTACTGAGTTGCTTAATTAATCTGAAGTTGATCAAAAAATAACCGTCAACCGATTACCCGAGATTTGGTCTTGCACTGAATTAGAAACATGGATTGTGGAAAACTTAACTATTTAGCCATTTATTATAAAGTTCAAAGCCTCATTCGTGCCTATTATGTGCAAAGATTTCGCTTGAATCTCTCAGTATTGCTTTAAACCCAAAAATGGAGTCATGTTCTTATGTACAGATATAGATATATTATATTCCTTTGCGCACAATTCAATCAGATTCGTAAACGGAGTTTGAAATGATGGGGATATTTATATTTTTATATTTTCGCCTCTAGTTACAATTTAAGATTCTTACTACAGTAGAGA